ATAGATGATACTGGAGATCTGTGGAGCGCACTGGGTGCGACTGCACCCAGCGTGACGGGAGATGTCTCCCGTTGTTAATGTTTGCTATTCTGCTGCTTATATGCTCGGGCAACACCTCACCGTGTTGCCCGGGCAACGCCTCACCTCATTCATCTCCAAAGGTTGACAGGAATATTAACAATGCATTTGGAGCGAGTATATTATTGGGATAATCTACTCGCTACAAAAGTATAAAAATACATTGTAAGTATAAAAGTGCATCAAATCAAATGTTTATTTAGGTAAGGTACATACATACAAGAGATTTTACAAAGAGTGATGGATTTATAGATAGGGCTAGTATATTACAATGCCTAAAGCCACTATTACGCAAAGCGTTTCGGGCATGAAAAACTTAAATGACTTCTTACATTGTAAGAAGGCCTAAAAATACATTATAATTAAGTATAAAAAAAGTCATTGTATAAGAAATTTGACAGAAAAAAGTAGGTACATTAAAGTAAATTTAAGGGTTATCAACAAGTACATTTTAGCATAATTTGAGGAATATTGCAAGATATAATGTAGCAAATTATGTGTATAACATGATATAAGATAACAACAATCATTACAATGGTAAAGTTGTATGGCATAGGTACATAATTTGGGGAATTGAGTAGCACTAGATACAGTGCAAGTTTCAAGCACTAGGTAGGAAACTATGAAGATGAAATTAGGTACTTTTTGGTTTTATTTTTTAACATGGCAAAAGTTTGACAGCTTTTCAATTAGTTAGGGAGGGAGTTTCATAAAAGAATGAGAAAGAAAGAAAGAATTCCTTTACAAGAATGTAAGAACACCACTGTTATGTACTCTAACCCAATGTATCTTATTGTATATAAAACCTGACAGGTTGGTATTGTGGGCCTGACAGCTGAGTTGACAGCACTCAGGGTTCTCAATCCTAAGGGTCCAGGTTTGATCCCCGGTGGAGGCGGAAACAAATAGAGTTTCTTTCACCCTAATGCACCTGTTCACCTACCAGTAAATAGGTACCTGGAAGCTAGACAGCTGCTATGGGTTGCTTCCTGGGGATGTGTGTGAAAATTAGGATTAAGGACTTGCCTGAAATGCTACGTGTGGTAGTAGCTGTACAAGAATGTAATAAATCTTGTATATATAGTAAGTAATTATCAAAGAAGGCACCAAGCCGGGAAGGCTATGTAGCACCATCAAATGTGTGGAATAATCAGAGGGCGCTAAATATCACTGAGGATGCCAATACAGTACGAGAACAGAAACGCATAAGGCAAACGATATCAAAAGTATCCAATTCACCAAGAATTCTATTGAGGGACAAGTGACTGCGAGGGACGGTCGAAAAGCAAGACACACGCTCATCCTGGAAGTCAAGATACTCAACAAGGATATGCACATCTGTAAGAGGGACAATGCAGTTAGGACAATAAGGAGCAGGGTGACGCTCCATTAAGTGTCCGTCTTGTGTATACAGTATAAATAAATTAAAAAAATAAATAAAAATGAAACCTGCCATTTTTATTGTAGACCTCAATGCACATCATACATTCCACCACAAACCTCCATGGTCAACAAGTCAACAACAACATCAGCTGGTGCTACATAGCCTTCCTGGCTTGGTGTCTTCTTTTGATACTTACTTAGCGCATCAACTATACCTAAAAAAAAAAAAAAAAAAAAAAGTATCTGGTAGACCAAATCTCTTTACAAATAGGTTAGAGATACATCTTCAACAGTAGATGTGTCTAAGAACATTAGGAACAGTAGTTTTAAGTTTTAATCTAAGCGTTTTTCCCACATATTGCCCAAAATGCTGTGTGTATTAGTGGCTTTAGGCATACTGTATTATGTACTAGCTCTATCTAGAAAGCCAACATTCTGTTTGTTACTCATATGGAATGTATGTACTTTTACCTAACATTTATTATTTTATTTATTACTATTACATAGTACATATGTACTTTGTACATATCTGCTGGACCTCTCACATTCCAGAGACTCTTTGCTTCTCCACCAAACCCACACTCATCCAAACCACTTCACACTTTACAAAATGAAACAAAACTTTGAGCAAAATGGAAAATAATATTTATTTTTGTATACTTACACTTTATATATACTGTATTTGTAAAGTTTCTCCCACTTTTTCTATTTGCAAAGTCTTTGATCAGATCCTCAAAACTCTTACATAACACATCTACTTCTATACTTAGTAGAGATAAGGCATCTGACCTCTGCATTGCATAGTTGTTTTGTTGAGATTTTTAGTATATTTCAACTGACATAATGGACACTCAGCTGAGCAATTTGTGACCATTACTGTAATGTTAAAAATATATATAAGTAAATGTCTACATTTGGAGATATAGGTATGTATACAGTATACATATATAATATTTATAATGTATACAGTATAAATGTATATAATTTATTTAATTAATGTATATAAGTTTCTCAGGATATCTCAGGTGATGGTTTGGTTATGTATAGAGATTACATGTTCCTTAATTGGGTATTGCTGCTTGTGCACTGTTAAGCGTCTTGAAAGATAGTCGACAGATACAGCGACAAAAGAAGACTGGACATCGCTGAGGTACCATACATCAAGCAAACCAAGCCATGTACCAATAGTCAACTAGCACCAAATTACACTTTGCCAACTTCCAGAACAAGACGAAACATACAACATATGTACTGCCCCCGATCTCCTTGTCAAACAGGAGATTGACAAGATACAAGGGACCTATAAGTGAGATGTTTCACCTTCACCTCATCCTTAGGGTATATATCATGCAGCAATGAATAGACATTAGTATGAATAGATGCTGGTTGTGCGTATGTTTATAGACATGTAACTGTACATATTATTATTATAACTTTGAAAATATATATAACAATAATTTATTCACAAGAAGGTACAATGGGTTGGTGAGATTACATAAGATTTCTATTTGAACATTCATGCAAAGTCACTAACACGCATAGCGTTTCGGGCCGGCCTTTAATCTAACATATCAGGTAAGATGAAAAGGTACATTGCAGCAAGGTTTTATATCAACAAATAACTACAATGTAAGTTAACAGAGGTGATTACACTGGTAAGGATATATGTCTAAAGTACAGTTCTAATATTGAGGAAGTGGGTAGTACAAGATACAGTGTATTTGAAACACAAGGTAGGAAACTATGAAGATGAAATTAGGTACTTTTTTATTTTACTTTTGAATAGGGCATAGGTTGGACAATTTTTTAATTCGTCAGGAAGTGAGTTCCAAGGACTGGGCCCTTTTATTTGCATGGCGTGTTTGTACAGATTTAGTTTGATTCTGGGAATATCATAGAGATATTTATTTATGGAGTGGTATTCATGGGTTGTATTCATGGGTTCTATTACACCTATCACAGAAAAGTTTCAGATCAAGATTACCATTTAAAAACAAGGTTTTGTACATGTAAATAGCACATGAGAATGTGTTGTGTGAGTGTATGTTCAGCATGTTAAGGGACTTAAATAGAGGGGCTGTGTGTTGTCTGAAGACAGAGTTTGTTATAGTTCTCATAGAGGATTTTTGCCAAGTGATGGTAGGCTTGAGGTAATTTGCAGTGGTTGAACCCCCATGCACAGATACTGTACATAATACGTTATCTATCATGAACACCACTACTGATACATTAATACATATTAGCAATAAAAACTCAAATAAACAAAGTGAGAAATAATAAGAATAAATCAACAAAACTATTCTCATGAGGCACATTATCTCATTTTAAGCAAAAAAATGCAACTTCTTTGGGCCATTACAGCTAAACCACGACAGGTAGAGAGTTGTTACTGGAATTTTTGTGCTTCCTGGATACTAATTAACAATGTCAAAAGAATAAATAATTAAAAAAAATTCTTACATTTCTTAATTTCTTATATATGACAGACCTGTATATAAATAGAGTGCACAGTTTGAGGTTAAGGAATGGAAGTTTCAAAGACAACATGGTGACATATGGCAACACATGATCAATATGCAGCATATAAAACAAGTAAACATTATAGTACTGTACTTTAGTTTACAAGATTCATTTCGATGTATGTAGTTCACACTAAAGTAGAAATTTGTTTTTAAGAGGCTGGTATTGAGGCTAGGATTTCGATATGCATCTCTAATACCTGTACAGTAAACTCTCTCTAGAAAGGAATTGAATTGTGAATTCAATTCACATAGAAAGGAAGTGAATTGTGAATTCAATTCACATAGAAAGGAAGTGAATTGTGAATTCAATTCACATAGAAAGGAAGTGAATTGTGAATTCAATTCACATAGAAAGGAAGTGAATTGTGAATTCACAGACACTGGACAATTCACATAGAATTCACAAAGAAATTGAATTCACATAGAAAGGAAGTGATAGCCGAAGCTATTTGAACCACTTCCCCGCCGGCAACTCGGATGGTAATCTTGGGCATAGCATTTTATCAAATCACCTGATAAAATCAATCAATCAAATCAATCAAATCACCAAATTTTTTTTTTTTTTTTTTTTTTTTTTTTAAGATATATACAAGAGTTGTTACATTCTTGTACAGCCACTAGTACGCGTAGCGTTTCGGGCAGGTCCCTGGAATACGATCCTCTGCCGTGAAGAATCGTTTTATCAAATTTTCAAATTTTATCAAATTCTCGCTCTGTGAATTCAAATAACAAATTTAGATATTAGCAATTACATTTTTAACAACAAAATTCAAACTATTTGAAGGTGGATGTGCCCTCCTGTTATTTTGTATATTGGATTTGCACAACCAAAATGATTGTTGGAAAAAACTTCTTAATACCATGCTCTGACCTTATGACTCTTCGCAATTATTTATATTTTTACCGATTATTTTTATTACATTCAAGCTCACAGTGCCACCCAATCACTCTGCATCTCAAAATATATATACAGTATCCCAATTTCAGCAAGAAAGTGGCAAATTGAATAACAATATACTATACTGGTAAGTGTTTTATTAGGTATAAAAAGATGGACTATTTTACTTCTTTGGAATGTAACCCAACTTTGCTCCGAGCTGGAGTTTCCAGAAACTCCTTCCTCTTCAGAATGAGGTCATACTATAATGTGAATATGAACCAAATCATTTTCAAGAGTATAGTATAACGTTGAAATTCAATACCTTAATGTTAAGTAGAGGTGAAATATGCACTGATACTCTGAGATTCGACAAAGTAAAGACAAAGATTCGACCTGATTGGAACCTAACTGGATTAAAGACAAACATTTGACCCGACTGGAAGCAGGATGACAGATACAACATCAATGACATATGGCATGAGCAAAAACAATTGCTTCTCTGGTTTAGAAAGTCCTGATAAAATTGCATACTCTCATATCTGACATATTATACATTTAGGGTTAAAAACTGAGTATAATTCATATGGTACTGTATATTGGTTTTTGGTTTTAGCTCTGCCTTGGAGTAAGTAAATGTTGACAGCTGCCAAACCAAACTACATTTACCTGGAAATCTAATGATGCTTGCATTCATACTAAGAAAAATAAAATAAAAATTATATTTAGACAGATATTACTGTACTTTCATACATATTCTCAGGCCGCTAGCATACAAGGAATTTTTGTTGTTTACATTGTTTCATACATTTATTGAAAGCTATTTTCATGCGTTGTTGTTAGGAAAAACATGGATTTTGTGCACTTAGATACAATATACAGTATTCAGTTGGTGGTGGACCGAAAAATGTAATAACAATTCTCTCTGTCAGGGACAGGAAACCTGTGCATTTAACGTATATACTTTAGACTTGTATTGAGGTCCCCCCCCCCCCCATGCTAAACCATTTCAATCCCATTTGGGAACTGAACCAGGCTCCCTGATTGTGTGTCAGGAATGAAGCCAACTGTACTACAAGACCTGCTTCCTATCTGCTGGAAAATATGATATTTATTAAAATGTTAACTTGACCTTAAATTAATATCCTATTATATATAATATATTATTTAACAGTAACATATTAATTATCTCTATCTCACCATACATATCTGTAAAGCACTATTACAACCAATAACATAGAAACATAACAAATCTCATTTTGATGATCCTTTGGTGTCCTAAGTGTTTATCTTGACTGGCTTGTATTTCTTATCAGGATCAGGAATGTAATATTTAATCCAAGACTCCATAAATGCAGCTCGACGAGACCAAGGTTTGAAATGACCATTCCAGTGCAATAATTTGGCTTTTTTAATAAACTCTTTTGAATATCTTGCTCCTGGTGTAACTCCTGAAAATACAACATTCCAGTTAAATCTATGTTTACAATTTTTAATAGAAACTCTCATAAAATTTCTACCATGGTGCAGTTCAGTTAAAAATTCTGTTGACCAAACCACACACTAGAAGATGAGAAGACGACGATGTTTCGGTCCGTCCTGGACCATTATCAAGTTGATTGTGAATTTTGTCAAGAATTCTGTATCTCATTGCATAAAGAAATCACATTAATGTGATGTATCAATGAGAAAAGCTACTGAAGGGATCTCCCAGAAAGTAATAGGTTTCTTCAGAGAAGTGTTGTGGTTGAAGGGTGCCAGGCATACAAATTAAGGTAATCAATTCTCTGAACCTTGTCATCCATCACTGCAGCCACTTAGTGGTAGCCTTTGGAGATGGTTCATGGGTGTTCAGGTACTCTAGTTCAGAATAATCCTAGGCAATTTTTAAGTTGCCATGGATAGTTTAGAGGACGGTGTTAAGTGGTCTGATGTTTATGGGTGTTACAACAGATGGTTTTACCTCAGTGGTGGACTGAGGTATGCTCACCATTAAGTTCCCCATCTCTAATTTAGAGAACAAGATGATTGCTCATCTAGCAGTAACCTGGGAAAATATAGTGCAAAGGCATAGGGGGAACTAACAAATTATGCATGTACAGTGGTACCTCGCATAACGATTGCCCCAAAAGACGAATATTTTGGGTAACGAACGGCCCGATCGGCGTCAAATCGTCCCGTATGACGAACGCTGGTTTGAGTAACGTCAACACCACATGGTGGGGTCGCGCTGCTGCTTGCACATTCTTAGACGCCTCCGACGATGCACATAAATTATGTTGTTCTTGTTTAAAGATGCTAATGATGCTGGGATATAAAAGGGTGACTGCTGAGATGTTGCAAAGCATTGACTTTTTGTAGGAAAAAAGAAATGAAATATCTGATATACAACAAATGTCAAAAAAGTTCGTTCGGTGTTCGGCAGGTAGGCTGCTCCATTATAACAATCTTTCTTTGTTTCAAATGTGTTCCATTTGTTTTTTATTTGTCATTTACGTCTCAATAATGGAGAAGCCTACCTTACATACACTGAATAAACCATTATGACATTTTCCTTTCTTCAAATGTGTTCAATATTTATTTTTCATTTGTCTTATAGCAAAAGGTTCGTTCGGTGGTCGGCAGGTAGGCTGCTCCATGTTTCTTACATACAAAAAACGTAAATAATAAAAAATATGAAGAATTTTGAAAACCAGTACAAATGTCAAAAATGTTCGTTTGGTGGTCTACAGGTCGACTGCTCCATGTTTCTTAAAAAAAAAAAAAAACGAAAAATAAAAGAACTGTTGAAACAATTTGAAAAATGGACAAATGTCATAAAGGTTCGTTCAGTGTTTGTCGGGTAGGCTGCTCCATTATTGAGACGTAAGTGATAAATACAAAACAAATGGAACACATTTGAAACAAAGAAAGATTGTCATAATGGAGCAGCCTACCCAACAAACACTGAACGAACCTTTTGCTATAACGAATATGAAAGACAAGGGCTGCTGGCTGGGTTAGTAGTGCGTGAGCAACCATTTGTAGCACACATGCCTCTGGCTCTCAAACACCTGTCCCACACGGTGTTGAAAGACTGTACTCAGTCAGTGCAATTCAGACCCTATTGTTTGAAGAACATAAGGGTCATAACATTGGTGAAGCTAGGCGCAATAAGAGCTTAACACAACGGTCGGATGCCTGTGATACAGCACCTATGAGGACGATACAGCGAGCGTATCCAGGTGTAGCTCTGAGCCCCACCCTTGCCATCTCTAATGTATATAGATGATACATAGATGAATCGTTTTCTGCGTTCAGTGATGATGCATCTGATACAAGTAGCATAGATTTAATATTGACCTCTGCGAGCCAGAACACCCTACTGCTGTTAGCTTCCTCAACTGTATGAATTCCTGCTTCCTCATACCCTTAATCACTAGACCTACTAGAATCACTGATAGCACTGCCACGACTCTAGATCACATCTGGACCAACATAACCTCTCCGCTTACTTCAGGCATAATCACCGATAGCACTACAGACCACTACCCCACATTTCTCTTAACTAACATTAGCAAACCACCTCTAGAAACAAGGGAGTTAAGCTTTAGGCTGCACAATGAAACTGCTATAAACAATTTTATAACTGCTGCTGATAATGTCAACTGGGAGTCCGAGTTAGGTAACATAGGGGACATCAACCTAGCAGTGCAATCTTTTCTACAAACAACTCTTAGCCTTTATAACACCCACTGTCCTAGGCTTACAAAACAAGTCACAAGCAAAAGGCTTAACAATCCTTGGCTTACAAAGGGAATACTGAAATCCATTAACAAAAAACACGACCTTGAGAAGAAGTATAGGTTAGGAATTGTCTCCAAAGAATTCTCAAAGAATTACTCATTATTGCTATCTAAGATAATTAGACGAGCCAAAACTAAATACTACGAAGATAAATTTACTCAAATAAAGAGCAACATTAAGCAAACTTGGAGCACAATTTCACAAATATTGGGATCAAAGAAATCTTTAAATAACAAACCGACTCTCCTGTCTAATAACGATGGTCAGCTTTCAGCCTCTGATTCTGCTATTGAGTTCAATAGGTTCTTCTCTTCCATTGGTTCATCCCTTGCAAATGATATTCCATCTTCCAGTACTGACATTAAGGACTATCTTACAGGTAACTATCCACAGTCTCTGTACCTAAAGCCTATTAACTCCACTGACGTCAATGAGATAATCCTTTCCCTTAAAACCAAGTCTGGTGCCCTTGAGGAGATACCAACTTTAATTTACAAAAAAGCCTCCAGATCTTTAGCCCCTGCTATTGCTTTGCTCTTCAACAAGTCACTTGAACTCCAAACCTTTCCAGATATTCTAAAAAAAGCGAGAGTAACGCCTGTCCACAAATGTGGTGACCTCACAGATGTTAACAACTACAGACCTATATCAATCCTGCCAAACTTGTCAAAAATTTTTGAAAAACTTATATATAAGCAGCTTTACTCATATCTAGCCAAACTCAATATACTTAGCCCTTGCCAATATGGCTTCAGACCCAAAAAAAGCACTAACGATGCACTTATTAGTATGCTTAACTCGATTCATACAGCTCTTGATAAAAAGGAGTTCCCTGTTGGGTTATTTGTGGACCTGCGTAAAGCTTTTGATACTGTCAACCACCATAACCTTCTTCTTAAATTACATCATTATGGAGTCAGAGGACACTCCCTACAATACCTCGAGTCCTACCTTACTGACAGGCTCCAATATGTTTCTGTGAATAATACAATTTCTCCCACCCTCAGGGCACCCTTGGTGTTCCTCAGGGCAGCATACTTGGCCCTCTCCTCTTTCTCATTTACATTAATGACCTTCCAAATGCCTCCCAACACCTCAAACCAATTCTACTTGCTGACGACACAACCTTCATTTACTCCAGTCCTGACCCTCTTGCTCTAAATGCCACAGTAAATACTGAGCTAAATAAAGTCCATCTTTGGCTAACTGCCAACAAACTCACCCTTAACATTGACAAAACTTTCTATATTCTGTTTGGCAATAAATCCTCTAGTCATATAAATCTCAAAATAAACAATACCCAAATTTGTAACAAATTAGATGGCAAATTCCTTGGCATTCTCATTGACCACAAGCTGAATTTCCAGGGACACATTCTAAATATATCAAAAAAAGTTTCAAAAACTGTGGGCATTCTTTCTAAGATCAGATATTATGTACCACGCCCTGCCCTGGTGACTCTCTATTACTCCCTTATCTATCCTTATCTCAACTATGGTATTTGTGCTTGGGGTTCTACTACCCAAAATCACTTACGTCCTCTAATTACCCAACACAAAGCTGCTATTAGAACAATATCCAACTCTGGCCCCAGACATCACTCGGTACCCCTACTCAAATCTCTGAATATGTTAGATATTAAGTCACTGCACATTCTCTCATGTGTATTATACATATATAAAACGCTAAACTATAATGCCAATCCTGATCTTAAAAGCTTCATAGAAGGTTGTAACAGAACCCATGATCACCACACCAGAAATAAATACAGTTTTGATATTCCTAGAGTACGTCTTAATCAAACTAGAAATGCTCTGCAAATCAAGGGGCCCAGAATGTGGAATGACCTTCCCAACCATGTTAAAGACTGTACCTCTCTCAACCAGTTTAAGATAAAAACTAAACACTACCTAATAAATTCCCTGTAATCTACCTCACTCCTCTATTGTCAACCCATGTCTGTTATTTTCTTTTTTTTTAATCAACACTGTTTGTCAACCTATTGTATTTGTGCTGCTTTTTCAGTCATGTTCCCCCTTTTTTTATCTTTATTTGTATTTGTTCTCAACACTTTTTATTCTTTATGCTCAATTAGTATTAAGTTCTAGATATTAATGTTTTTCTTGCCCGAAACGCATTGCGTAATAGTGGCTTTAGGCATTGTATGTACTAGCTCTATCTATATATCAATCCATTAATGTAACATCACTTGTATGTATATACCTTACCTGAATAAACATCTGAATCTGAATCTGAATCTGAATCAGATGAACAGTGTTAGCGGCTTCCATGGTGGTGGTGTTCATTGATATTTTTAAGAATACCTGAATCTTTTCCTGACTGATGGACACTCTTTGAGGCTAGCTGAATCTCTTCCTGACTGATGGACACTCTTTGAGGCTAGCTGAATCTCTTCCTGTGTGGGACCTTACAAAGCGATCTTTTCAAGACTACCTTACAAATTGAGCTTTTCCTATAATCGTTTCAATACTACCTTATGCTTTATAAGCTTGGCTACATACCACCTACAAGTACTAAAGCCAAGGGTGCACGCGAGTGCATTATTTGCAAGCACACAGAACGATGAAACAGGAAACAAAAATCTATCTGTAGCTGGTGCAAGGAGAGCAAAGTCGCGCTGTGTACCATGGACTACTTCGTTGACTATTACGCACCTCCAAAGTACTGAGTGTGTAATACAGTGTGTTACTGTGTAAATAGTATGTGAAACTGTACATATTGTAATATTAGTGCATTTTTACCACGTAATATTGTGACAAACATTTATTGTGGACACATTACTGACACATGTATCACAGTTTCATGGAAAATTATGAACATTCTACTGTATACATATTGTAAAGGTCACAAATATGCATCATATACGATAAAAGAAACAAATAAAACCGCATTGGAAATGCATAGGAAAAATATTTGAAAATATATTTGTGGCAACACGCGGTGCTTGAATGGCCTGCGCGACCGTGTCTGGGAGCTTCACACACGGGCGACCAGCCCCTGATGACGTCACAGCGCACCTTGTCCACGCCCTCACAGCCAAAGTAAGTGGAATTTGGTAATTATTTTTACATAGACATGTTCAGGGACGGTAATTTATCATTTTACAAAGAAAAATTATATTTTGGGGAACATTTGATGTCATGCACACTAGGGATATTTCACAATAAACACAGTGCATCACACTGGTTACATGGGGGACACTCGTTTTGTATGACGTCCGTTTCACATGACGAACATGGAACGGATTAAATTCGTTATGGGAGGTACCACTGTACTAGATAACCAGAGACCAGATATAGCTTTCAAAAGTTTTAAAGTCATTAATGTCAATCAGAGCTGGATGCAAACTTTGACACCATACTTTAAGCCTGACAAATGTGAGGAGAGTAATGACCCTGGCTGGTTTGATGAGCATTGTTCACAGAGCCCCAACCCAGAGCTGGGGCATCCGTGAAGACGTTGAGCATGGGCAGAGGAAGGTGCTATGGAACCAAATCCTGAAAAGCCCAAGAGGAAGCCGGTGGTGAAGCAGTCAGCAAAGATTTAAAGGAACCTGCACCCAATAGGGACTGAACCGGAGATACCATAACAACTGCCGAAGCCACACTTTGCTTAGAGGAAATACTATGCGGGTAAAGTTCAGGCTCCTGCACAACCCCTTGAGCAACCATTGAGTCACCTAGGGGTGACTCAACACCAACAAGAGGCAGTGCTGCAGCCAGGTCAAGGCTGCCCAAAGAAGGGAAAGTGAAGTCGACCAAAAGTCTCCCATGAGACCCAGCCAGGTCCAAACCTGGGATGGAACCAACTTGGACTTCTGCCAGATCACCAGGAATCTAAACTCGACAAGCTGGGGAAGAACCAGATTCCTGGCTAACAGATGTGCAGATCAACTGGGAATCCACACCAGTCATTGAGGTAGGCTAAACACAAAACGCCCAGCAACCGAAGATGAGTCAACACGACTCAAGTGCGTAAACACATGTGGAGCCTGATTGTGCCCAAACGGAAGAATCTGAAAGTGGTAAGTTTGCCGCCCCACCACAAAACCTAGCCAATTCTTGAACCTCGGATATACTGTATATGGACATGCCAATAGGAATTCTGGAGGTCCAGGGAGATCATCTAAGAGTCTTCATCTAATACAAGAATAACCTGGAACAAGGTGGTTATCCAGAACATGGGGCAAGGGATGAACTGGTTCAGCCTAAAAAGGTTGAGGATGAACTGGAAATCCTCCGAGTCCCATTTCAGAATCACGAAAAGACAGGAAACCCACCCATGCGACAGAGTTGGTTCGACCACACCAGAGGCCGAACCAACTGACCAACTCCACTACAGGCTGCATGAAATTACCCAAAAAGGTTACAAATCATAGGAACAGGAATCGGCAAACTGGGTGAGCCACCCCCACCCCCACACACATCTGTTTCCTGTATGTGGAAACATGTGGACATTTGGTGTATGTGGACATGATCACCAAAAACAAGATTCTCAGAGGAATTGATAGGGTAGATAAAGACAGACTATTTAACACAAGGGGCACATGCATTAGGGGACACAGGTGGAAATTGAGTGCCCAAATGAGCCATAGAGACATTAGAAAGAATTTTTTCAGTGTCAGAGTAGTAGACAACTGGAATGCATTAGGAAGTGATGTGGTGGAGCCAGACTTCATACACAGTTTCAAGTGTAGATATGATAGAGCCCAATAGGCTCAGGAACCTGTACACCAGTTGATTGACGGTTGAGAGGCGGGACCAAAGAGCCAGAGCTCAACTCCCACAAGCACATCTAGGAAAGTACAACTAGGTAAGTACACCCCCACTGCCCCATGATGGGGACGAACTGTGAATGGACTGTCGCAAACCACGAGAAACTAGTGCCTTCTGTGAGGAGCAAGCATAGCACAAACCAGATGGAGGAGCACAGGGTAGGTGAAGTGTTTGTGACCTGGAATCTGGCTCCATAGAAGGCCTACCTCAACCCATAACAGGCAATGCCTCAGCTCTACCCAACTGTCCTTCAAGGATGAGAATGAGATCCCCGAGAACAAAGAAGGTCCAAAATAGGCCTACAAACAGCAGCCGCAGAAGAAAAATTGGGACACAACTTTCTCAGGAAAGAGAAAAGGAGAGGAGAGAAGAGGAAGGCGGACATGAGAGCCAGGACCTAGTCTCGGAGGGAACAAGGAACCACTTGGAGTTGAACAGGACCCATGGGCCCACATCAGATCCCAAGCCCCAGAAGTCACACTTGAGGGCCCTGAGGTGGAGCCAGCACCCATTCCCACTGCCATAGTTAAGAGTAGTACAGGGGAGAAGCTTCAAAAGAAGGGTGGGGATAGAGGATGGGGGGGGATGGCTAGCTAGAAAGAAAACCCCGAAGCCTCAACAGGAATAGCCAGATAAACTGCCTATTCACCTGATTTGGAAGAGCTAACCAAGTCACATCCTGAGCTAAACCCTGCCCTGACCTGGAAACCCTCCACTGTTTTGGGGCTGGAAGCATAGGGAAAAGATCAGAAGGGTGAACCTTACCTGAAAAGAAAGGAAGAGGAGGTGAAGACAGAGCCAAGGTGGAGTTCACCAACAACTCCAATTCTAGGACCCTAAACATCTAACTGGACAGCTCTGAGGCATCCACCTGGGCACATAGCCTAGACCGCTGTAATTGAGCAAAGGGAATTCACAAAGTGGAAGTTGCCTGATATGCCCTAACATCATCAGGAGACCCAGCAAGATTCAGGATTGAAGGTGTCTCCAATCCAACAGGCAGCATGGCAGAGGCAGAACAAGTGATCGTTGTCTCGTGACACAGACAATGAGCAACCCGCTAACTCGCACAAGGCGAAAGCAGGTTCAGAGGAAATATCCACCTGACTACCTAACCCTCAGGGGATTACCAGGGCTTGAAGGGTAAATGAAGCAGGACACCCAGGCACTGGAGATGCTACACTGGACCTAAAAGTAAGCGGACACAGCCGGGGTTACACGGCCAAAGTTACACCCAGCCAGGGTTAAGACAGAAGTCACAAGACTTCACCTTGGGCAAGGGCCACCATAAGAGAGGAAGACCTCTAATGAAACGACTCACAAACACTCAAAAGACAACACTGGCAATGCAAGGGCTATGCTAGACAGCACATAGGGAAGGTAACCTTGAGCACATGCAGCTCCAAGCATTCTACAAGCCAGGCTCATGCTGCACCGCAGTGTACAGGAAAAGCCAACCTTGGCAAACACCAAAACCACTTAGCTGAACAGTGGAGCCTGCAGAGAAGAGAGGCAACCCTGGAACTACAACAGCAGTCAAATGACCCCAAATGCATGAGTGTAAGAACTGACAGCTTAGACCCTGGAGGTGGTGAGCCCCTTCTCCCAAATGAGTAGGGAAGGTGGGGCAAAGGCCATACTAGTTTCAAGAGATTCAATAGTTTGTTTACATGGCTGGGGGAGTTCATTAGGTGGGTTGTGAGGCTTTGGTCACTTTGATGCCAACATTGGTTTGTTTCGACTATGTAGCTGACTTTCTGGATGCCTTCCACGGTGAAGTGGTGAAATGTCACCACTTTTGGTGCCTCTGAGGAGTTCAGGTTTTGGCTCTGTTCCCTGGTAGGCCTAAGAACTACATGGCTGATATGACATGGTTGATGGGAACCATCTTTGTATATAAATTCAGAGAGCCACAAGGGGCTTCCCGAGAAACAGACCTAATAAAACTTATAGTTCTTAATTTAACATCATATAGCTTCACAATGATATATTTATGATAGCTATTTAGTAAAAGATTTGTGTACCAAAACATTGATATGAGTATTATTTCTCAACAGAAAAGGATGTTTGTTGGTAGTGAGACAACAACTACCTTACCTAGGTCCCCTACATGCCAGGGTTGTGGAAGCGGGGAGACACGGTTGTACATGACTATCAGTATTGCTGCCTCAGCCTCGTTTGCTTCTGGTTCCAATCCGTAGATGGGGTCGCTGTGGACAAATAAAATGAAGGCTTTGCCCTTAAAGCTCATTACATGAAAAATAAAATATAATTAGTTCAAGCAAAATGTCTAGTTTTTTATATTTATTTATATATACAGTACAAGAGTTCTTACATTATTGTAAAGCCACTAGCACACATAGCATTTCGGGCAGGTCCTTAATCCTAATTTTCCCCAGAATACGAATCATAAAATCGTTTAACAAGCAGGTACCCATTCACTGCTGGGTGAACAGAGGCTATAGTTAAGGATTGGTCAATCCTCCCCAGCCAGGATACGAACCCAGGCCAAAGCGCTTGTGAAGCGCCAGGCGAGTGCTTTACCACTGTTCAACGGGGATTGTGTAAGTTAGTAGTTAGTAACAAATATATGTCTACTAACTCAGTGAGTGAATATAACATTTAATGCACATATATGCACAGTGAACAAACAGTGAAAAAGTGGTGCAGAGGAATACACAGTGAAAGAGGAACAAACAGTGAAAGAGGAATAAACAATGAAAGAGTAGTGCAGAGGAACAAACCGTGAATGAGTGGTGCAGAGGAACAAACAGTGAAAGACTGGTGCAGAGGAACAAACAGTGAAAGACTGGTGCAGAGGAACAAACAGTGAAAGACTGGTGCAGAGGAACAAACAGTGAAAGACTGGTGCCCAACTGTGCCACACTGCACGGGTTCAACAACCCAGGTTGTTGGTGCCGGGGAGAGGAGCAGGTGAAGATGCCACGGGGAAACTACTGCACAACAGAGTGCTGGGAGATTTGGTGTATTCCACAGAAGTAGTTTTTAGACAGGTTTTCTAAACCAGGTTTCTATAAGCTGAATAGGGACTGGGGATAAGGTTGTGGGTATATGTACGTTTGTGTATTCACGTAACTGTGCTTGAAAGTCTGCCTGCCCTTTCAATTCTCGGTCGTTCAATGCAATGATTTCTGATCCCACTAGATTTCAATTACAGTACTGTATGTACAGGATATATTTGTATAAATATACACACATATATATACATATACAGTATACAGATGTATGGCTGCCATGCACATTCAGACACTGGATCGTGATGTTGCCAAATATGGTCCTAATGTTTTTACTAAGTCCCTAGAAGGAAAACGAAGAACTCAGATTTATTATTTTTATTTTTTTTTTCAATATGGGGGATTGTTACTGGAGGCTTGAGAAAGCAACTGTAAGCCCCCATGTATGTGCAAGACTTTTAAATCTGATGCCGTTCCTTAATGCTTCATATGATGGGATGCGTAGTCTGAGCATATTAAGCTACCCCCATCATATGATGGGATGCACATCCGGAGGGATAAAGTAGTGTTTTTTAGACAAATTTTTGTGGGAAATAGTGCAACAATGAATTAGGATAGCACAGGGCAGCATAAAATGAGGTACATGTGCAGAGCATTATTAAAACTTGAATACTACAATTATATCCACTGTTAGTAATAAACTACTTCCTATTATTAATAGTATCACAGAACATTTCTAATAACAATGAAAAGCAACTTACCTTTTGCTACTGTTAACCCAGTCCATTAACAGATTAGAAATATTAGAAGCTTTCCAAGCAGTCATGTCTCCCACAAAGACATCGGTATTGAAGGTACAGGCTTTGGGCTTAATCTTCACACCTTTAAGCTTGTGATGCTGTAGGTTGATGTGTGTTGAATATCGAGGTTTAGCTAAATTGAATCGTTTAGAGCCTAATTGACAGTCATCGGCGAAAGCGCCTAAATGAGAACTTTTTATAGCCACATCAATCAGCTCTCTTACATCTCCTGAAATATTAAGGGTAAGGTTTAGTGGATAGGATAAACATTATATATAAAATTCACCTAAGCATGCTATGTAAAATTTTGCTATGAACTCTAAATGAATTTTAAAGCTGATAATTTATGGCATCTAAATGGATACAGTATACATTATTAAATACATCTGCATTACTGGACTAATAGTGAACAGGAATTTGCTGGTGTGAAAATCAAGTCGAATGTAATGAAAAGTTGTATATGTGTGCATATTTACTTTCCAAGCTAAAGTGCTGGTACTGCCAAGCCTTAGGAAATCACACCAAACCTCTGAGACCCACCATTAAACACTAGGAACCAAGACCAGAATGTGGCTCTTTCTTTGAGGCAAGGGGAGTCTGGGTATCAGAGATTAACTCGAGGAGTGTGTGTCCAGAAAACACACAGCTTATTCTGGTAAATGTTCTGGGTATCAAACAGAGACTAAGGGAATGAACCTAAGAGTGGTACGAAGTGCAACCAACCCGAAACCCAAGTCAATCGCTGAACCTCAGAAGGATAGAAACAAACTAATGAGTGTCCCAGAGATCCATGGAAACTAGCCAATACTGACCCAACACAGTGAGCAACGGACACAGCGATCACCCGAAATGAAGGAGAGGGGGGATGTAAGTGTTGATCTTCAATGAGTTATGAACCCACAAAAGCCAGGGAGTATTTTTCTTGGCCATCAGGGTCAAACAGGATATGATCTACAAAGAACAAGTAGTGGATATAATGATCATACGCAACATTTCATGGAAGCAGGTGTAGAATATTGGAGTAGAAGGCAGCACAGCTCTTGGGGACACCTGCAGAGGAGCAAGGCACCAAACCCAATGAAGACCCTGGGTGACTACACAATAAGCCCAAGCATCCTCATGACCAAGCTCCCAATGAGTGCAAATGTCCCCCTATCACATGGCCTAACCATTAAAGAACGAAGTAGTAGCAAGAGTCAGCTCAACAATATAATCCAGCACTAGATAGAGGCTTCCCTGTCCCAAAAGCAAGAAGGGTTGAGGAGAGAAGTCACATCCATGGTGACCACTGATGTACGTACCATCACCAATACCTCATCTAGGAGACCAAATACCCAAGAGCCTACCACACACATGCAGAAAGCAAGTGGGCTGGGTGGCAGGAAAGACACATGTTGAATCTAACTTTCTCAGAAATGAATAAGATAGAAAAGTGTGAGGACAAAATTTACCATCTGGAGACAGCCTTATTACACCTTCTGGACCCTTTCAATTTTGATTGTGCTTTATATCCTCTAGGCTAGATCTGGCTGAAGGCACTAAATCAGTTTCTTCGGTTGACTGTCCACTGTTGGTTCTGAAATCATGTTTTTAACACTTTCGCGCTTTAGATTAGAGAACTCGTCGCCGTTTTTTCTTACGATTCCGCATAACAGCCTACTTTTCTCGTCCATCGAAAAAATATTTCTATAAATTCCATTTTTTAACCGAAATGGATGGGGATACTCTCAGATTATATACGTTTTGTAGAGAATTTATTTGCGAATTTTTTGGTACCAGAATGAATATTATATCACATAAACTTCTATGAGTAAAAAAAAAATACAGAAAGTATGTTTGGGGGTGTGGCGAGCGTGTGGCAGTGGGTTCCCTTTAGTCGTTGATATATCCAACACGTGGGAAATATTTGTATGTGTTATGTATATGTCTGTGTAGGGAATTTTACTGCGATCACTGTCATACAAATTATAAAATGTTTCAACAAGTATAAACATGACAAACATCAAACGAACGAAAACAATGCGTTCGTTTCTGCCGCGAACGCATACTGAGCGACGTGGTTCTATATTTGGCACTTCTCTTACACATGCTTTGTACAAATGCTATACATTTCATCTTATAGAAAATTTTATTGCGAACACATTGGTATAAAAAAGAAATACGTACATAGAAAAGTAGGGTCAGGAAACGTATAAACTTTTCAAGCATGATTTCCCCCGTGTTTTCGCCAGTGCGCTCGCGGCTAACTACTCTCCACTTCACACACTCTTGCGGGTGGGCAATTACCTATATTAAACATTCATATGCATATGTCCGTGTAGAGAATTTTATTGCGATTCCAATGATACCAAAATTAGCGATGTAGGACAACTGTAGGCTTCGCAACCATTAAGAGAGTGGAAACATTTTGTTGCTGTTTGGCGCTCTCGGCGAGTGATCTGCATAGTTTTTTATTTGGTGTTGATACTCCTTATGCTTGGGCGGCATTTTATAGGTATGCTCTTATAGACAATTTCATTGCGAACACAGTGATACCAAATTTAAATACGTGCGCCTTCAATTATTGTCAGGACAGTCAAAAGAGTGTACACTTTTTCGGTCTTACCGCGTAGGCGCGCGAAGTGCCGAAAGCATCTGGGGTATTGTTTTTTTTTGAGCGCCGAGAGCGCGAAAGTGTTAAACCTCCCCTGACCTTAAGGTTTTCCTTTATCAGAGGTTTCCTGTTTGATCTTTTTGAAGTTAAGTCATTTAGCTATGCATACAGTGTGGGCTGGGATTTTATATCTAACCATTACCATGTGAGAAAGAGGCATTGATGCAAGCTCACATACACTTAACTCATGGGTACTTAATGGAACAATGACCTGCTGTTTATTGTCTGAACTACAATGCCTCTCCGGGTCGCTTGTCCTTAAATAGAATCCTTGGTAAAGCCGATACTTTTCATGTATCTTGCCTTATGTCCTTTTGTTCTTGGGCATCCCGAGTGATATTTAGCACCTTCAAGAATATCCAGTGAGAGACGATGCTACATACTTTTCCTAGTTTCATGCATTGTTTTAAAAATTACTTACCATGATGAAGCAATACATAAATTATTCAATTATATCAGTCTGACATTTAAATATGTATATAAATTCCTACATAATTTAACTAAGAACCCTTACCTTGGATAATTACATCAGTATCAAGATATATAAATCTTCCATCCAACTCTGGGAAGATTGACTTGAGGTATATTTTGGCAAAGTGTGGCTTTTTCTTAGGTATTTGAGGCACATGTGGGCGGACGGTGTAGTTGACTCTGTGCAACACTGTCTGTAGCACCCATTTCCTTTAATGAAGCAAGATTTTTGCAATAAGAATAATACACATAGATTAAAGGATCTTTAACTAGAATGAATAAAAACATGCATATGAAATTAAAATAGGCTTATTTGTTAATAATGGTCATGAAAACTATGTAATTCAAATTCAACGTAAAGAGTGCAATAGACCAGATAACTATTATATAGATAAATTTCTGAGCAAGTCCCTCTATTAGGACTATAATGTAGCCTATCAAACTGGAAGAGAAATCTTTCATAAGCATTTATTAACTTAATGATAAAAAATTAAGCAATGACTATAAGGAAATGCACTTTTCTGGTAGGCCCAACAGTGGTTCCCTGAGCTTAACTCTGGGTCCACCAAGCAATACCCCAGCACATCAGGCCTCTGATACATAGAAGCCAGGATCAGAATTTGGTTCACTCTACGAGGCAAGGAGAACAATAGATTAGGGATTAGTTACAAATTTGGGGAAAGCATAGGTTCAACCAATAAACAATTGCTCGAAGGAAATTAGGCACCAATAGGTTAACAAGGCAAACAATTGTTGTGGTGGAGTGAATATCTTAATTCCAGGATTCTGGAAATATCCTGATAATGGCCTCTCATTCTTTGTTGTTTTTTGGTCATCATTCTTGATGCACAGCTGTCATTCTTTGCTCTGGTACCCCTTCTTTTCCAATTGGTCAGCCCAATCGGCTTTTTCTCATTTTGTTTGAAAAGCTGGCTTCCTTAATTTAGGCACCATTATAACTTCAGGAACACCCATTTTTTGGTGGTCCCCCAGTGACTCCCCATTCCTGCCCTATTTCCTTCTTTCCTGTAGGGTTATGGGGATTTTGCACAGGCAGCTCCAAATTGAGGCTATTTTACACTGGTGGTATCAAACTTGAAGGCTGGACTGTAAGACTTCAGGTAATCTGGGCTGCCATCAGATGATGGTCAAACGCATCAGTCAGGGTAACTTTCTCCATGGCAACAACCATCTGAATTGTTTTGTGGCAACTACAGGGTATATTAAGAAGTAATATACTTGCTCCAAATTCTCATTAATTCAAGGTAAGAAATTACATGTTCTTGTTAATTCTACTTAACCTATCCTTAAGTTAGAAAGTTCTACACTAATCCTATATATACTAATTACAAGTAATATCTCTTTCCCAAGGATATTGGATCAATCAGGCCAGCCAACAGGTAACCTAGTAAGTGTTGATCAATTTGCCAAGATGAGGAGAAGCTTGTAATATAAGCCACTCACAGCAGATCAGAGTTAGTTTAACTCCAAGAGTGGTTCAGTACAGATACTTGAAAGATACCACAGATCTCCAACACCATGTAACATCCACCAGCAAGAATGCAATACTCTTCGAGTCTAATTCCTCCTCTCTCAAGACACTACAGCCTTGTGCGACATGATAACGGTACTGCGGCTGTACCAGGCTGATAGATTATGGTACACACTTCCCATTACAAAAAAAAACAAAAAACACACACATTGGCCTTTGCAATGTGAAAATTGCACAGGAGTGAAAAAATACTCAGATGAAAAATTAAGACAATTTATTGTAATATCAAAATGAACAAATAACAAGAAAGATACCAAAAAAACCCTGATTGAACACACTTAGCTAGCACACAAGAGAAGTAATAATAACACATGTATAAACTTACTTAAACACAAAAATACGGGTGACACTGAAAGTATTTACACAAAAACTAAAACCTGCACATGAAGAAGCAGGAGGCAAGTGTTGTGCAGAGGCAGTAATGTTTATTTCCCGAGCACCTGATGAGAGACTGAGGAGGTGACCGAGGTCATGGGTATTTATACCCCTAATGGTGACGTCACACCCTTTGTCATCGAGGCTTTGAACAAGGAGCCAGGGCGTAACTGGTAGTTCATAGACATAACAAGGAACCAATGAGTCTGGAAGCTGAACACCTGCCTGGAGCTCTCGGGCGGGGTGGAGGGTGTACTGGTGGTGGTGTCCAAACATTCGTCTGGATTGAACACCATATCGGTTGTAATATGCGGTATGTAGAATAATGAATAACGAAGGTAAGAAGGAAGAGGCAGTTTCCTCCGCTATGCTTGGAAATTATGTGACAATTGTCATAGAGCAGACAGTCAGATTCTGGCTGCATCGAGCTTCCGTGCTCTCATCCCGTATTCAAGTTCCACGCTCTACGCTCTCACATCACATCAGAGCTCTCTACCCAGTTCTCACTCAAGCTCTCTGTTTCCTGCTCCAGGCCTCGTCTCAACTATCACAACATGCCATTACAGTGCCAACAACTGACTGCTGTAACCAAGATTATATTATATATAAAAACCCACTAAACTGTTTGAGTCTCATCACCCAAACTTGTATGTGTAAACATACTTTACAGTTTATGTAATGATGCCTTCAAGTAGTCCCTAGTTTCGTTATACCAATACTTGCTGGTGAGTTGTACTCAGTTTTGTGGTTGATCTCTGATCTACTTCCCTAGAATACATGTTAATCCAGATTGTGGTCCTGGCTCCCAGTAGGTGACACGTAGGTCTTGGAAGGCATTTGGCAAAAGCTTGGTGGACTAGAGTTAAGTATGGAGAGCTACTGACAGGTCCATCTCAGAAGTTAACATGAAAAAGTAACAAAATTAAAAATTACTCAACAACTAACCTGAAGTCCGGAATGACAATCTTTGGCAGTGTAATGTAGAAATGGACAGATGATTTTGTGTTTGATACAATACTATTCATAGCTGTAGTAACACCAACTAACGTCTCAGCATCTCCAGAGATTACAATATTCACAGCTTTACCTAAAAACAAAGACAGTCAAAGAATTTTGTTCATTGCATATAAAAAGTTTAGTTTACCTGAATTTACCTGACTGCCACTAACACTATAGTGGCCTCAATGAAGACAGGAAGCTGGCCGCTTATCAAAGGTCCCCCCATTTGCCTCTGATGATTTTTTTCCACCCGAATTTTAAATTTAACAGAGTTTTAGCATTTACGGCTTCAACAGCCAGCAGTTGACATTTAGAAAAACTTGTCTGGATCAACATTCTCCAAATTTTTCAGTACAGTATTTTAAAAGCTACAATGAGATCCATCCTGTCATGTCTGGATTTAAATTCTAGGCATGACATATGGCAGGCATGAATTTCAGGAACGAATTAGGTCACTCGGACACACACTAAAATGCCCGATCCACTGTGTGTAATTAGTGGCTTTATAAATTATACAAATACTGAACCTATTAAGAAACTACTGTAATCATATCCCCAGTATATTTTATAAAATATTGTTATTATTATTATTACAATACTTATTAATTATTTATAATACTGACAAGCAATGAGTATTACCATGAAAAGGAAAATAAAGAGAACTCTTGGTGCATCACTACATATGAAAACTCCAACACTAACCTGAGTTTTGCGCGCTGCTAACATTGCTACTGATTATTGGTAGTGTGTTATGCACTGTTTTCACTTTGGACTGATTTCCACTGTTAATTTTGGCTGCCTCAATGAGTTCACCAAGCAGTACCTTAAAAGAATGCCAAGCTGTTTCAGTTCAAATATAATTTACATGTAGTAGTAAAGTAACAATATAAATCTCAAACAATACAAATTACACTTTTGTGTGAAATTGCATTATATTTTAATTAAAAAGTTAAAATAAAACAAGTAATCAATCTCACAATGTTCAGCATATGTAATAATATTTAATATCCTTCAAGCACTTACATGACTTTTGGCTGCCCTAGCCAGAGGAACATTGTCTACTTGGCTAGCCTGTGAAGAATGCCGATGACTGTTAGTAATGTCTCCAGGATGCCATTTCAGAGATGACATGACATATACCAGCAGAACGCACCAACCAATCCCAGCCACCACCACACCTTAAAATTTTTTAAGCATTAAATAAATAACAAAGCTTCAATGAATTTCCTTCAATTTTCCATTACAGTACAGACATTATTTTGTACATATGAATAATTAAAGGCAATGTAAACATTACTGCACACACTATATAGAGTCATTACAACTTAAGTCTCTATGGTGATAGATTTCCAGCATTGTAATTAATTACCTGTACATGCAATCAACATATTAGAGATTCACCGGGCTACAGGAATAATAATAATTCAGACGATAAATATAGTTTTATAAATACACACCGTACTGTACTCTCAAATGAACAATAAACAAAATATTAAATACAGTACAGGTACAGTACAGTACAGCAAGTTGAACAGTGTAATCAGTAACCAATGTGTGAAGTATCTCCACACATCTTCCTTGTTAAACACATCAGGAGTTGATTCCTATAATCAAAGTTTCTTCTCTCAGAACTTTTCTTTGTTTCAGGAGATTGTACTGACAACAATTATATCTGCTAGTGTTGAAGTAACATTTTGTATAATTTCTAGAGAATTTTCTGAAGTTGTGACATGTCTCTGAGTATAATTTGGTGGGATATGGTTTTTTCCATCTGAGAGCCACAAATTTTTAGTGTTCACAATGCAGGAACACTAAAAACACTGTTTTTACTAGTTTGCAGTAGTGTTAGAATATATAAGAACAAAGGTAACTGCAGAAGGCCTATTGGCCCATACGAGGCAGCTCCTATTTATAACCACCTAATCCCACTCATATACATGTCCAACCCATGCTTGAAACAATCGAGGGATCCCACTTCCACAACGTTACGCGGTAATTGGTTCCACCAATTTGGTAATTGGTAATTGGTCATGAGGCTCTCAACCACTCCTGGTAAGAGAGTTGTTTTGTTCTTGGATGATTTTTTTTTGTAATACTGCATACACAATACATAAAATCTGGACCAACTTGACAAGTATCAACCATATTCGTTCAAAAATTTTACAGCTAGAGTACTATTGTTACCTTTTCTGTACTAGAAAATATTTCTTGTATTAAATTGATACAATACAGGTAGTAGAATGTTTTTTTTCTGTGATTGACCCCTGTCCTACCACACAGTAAGGATTTGTCCTAGTCATATATATTTTCCTGTGTTTATGGTTGAACTTTTGCTACTTAAGAGGTTTTCGTTAATCTTTCTTTGAATACTACAGTACGTACTATATTTAATGCATGTGCAGAAAATTTGATGCCAGCATTAGTAGTCTCACTTGATCAGATAGTGATGGATGTGTCCAGGTCCTGTGATAATGTCTATGCTTCTAGTGCAGTATATGGTCAGGTAACTAGGAAGTAATTATCAGTGGTATGCTTTACTAAAATACGAATGGGCAGCAACACACTTTTTTTGAGGGGTATCACACTGTCTAATGTCAATGGTGTCACCTTGTAGTGCAATAGGTCATAATATGAGTGTTATGCTGCCTAATGTCAGGGCTGCACCTTGTAGTATCGTAGTTTGAGTGCCACACTACCTAATGCCACCTTGAAATAGGTCATAGTAGGAGTGCTATACTGTACTGCCTAATATCAGAGCTGTCATACTGTAATGTCATAGTAGGAGTGTCATTCTGCCTAATGCCAGCAATGTCACCTTGTAAAAGCTCAAAGCACAAATGTCATTTTGTCTAGTGTCAAGAATGTTATCTTGTAATAGGTAATAGTAGGAATGTCATTCTACCTAATGTCAAGACTGTCACATTGTAACAGGTTACAGGAGAGAAATCCTGCCTAACACCACGACTGTCACATTGTAACAGGTTACAGGAGTGACATCCTGCCCAACACCATGACTGTCACATTGTAACAGGTTACAGGAGTGACATCCTGCCCAACACCACGACTGTCAGCTTGTAACAGATTACAGGAGTGACATCCTGCCCAACACCACGACTGTCAGCTTGTAACAGGTTACAGGAGTGACATCCTGCCCAACACCACGACTGTCAGCTTGTAACAGGTTACAGGAGTGACATCCTGCCCAACACCAAGACTGTCAGCTTGTAACAGGTTACAGGAGTGACATCCTGCCCAACACCAAGACTGTCAGCTTGTAACAGGTTACAGGAGTGACATCCTGCCCAACACCACGACTGTCAGCTTGTAACAGATTACAGGAGTGACATCCTGCCCAACACCACGACTGTCAGCTTGTAACAGGTTACAGGAGTGACATCCTGCCCAACACCACGACTGTCAGCTTGTAACAGGTTACAGGAGTGACATCCTGCCCAACACCAAGACTGTCAGCTTGTAACAGGTTACAGGAGTGACATCCTGCCCAACACCAAGACTGTCAGCTTGTAACAGGTTACAGGAGTGACATCCTGCCCAACACCACGACTGTCAGCTTGTAACAGATTACAGGAGTGACATCCTGCCCAACACCAAGACTGTCAGCTTGTAACAGATTACAGGAGTGACATCCTGCCCAACACCACGACTGTCAGCTTGTAACAGGTTACAGGAGTGACATCCTGCCTAACACCACGACTGTCAGCTTGTAACAGGTTACAGGAGTGACATCCTGCCTAACACCACGACTGTCACATTGTAACAGGTTACTGGAATGGCATTCTGCCCAACACCACGACTGCCCTGGACACGGGGACGCCAGAGTCATTGCTCAAGACTTCATGCCTGTAGTTAGTCATCAGTGCCTCTACTGTGTCACCTTTCTCGTGGGAAAAGCATTTTACTCACAGACTTTCAGTTTAGTGTGCACCATGATTTGAAAGGCCAGGTCTTGGCACCGAGGCTGACAGCGTCGGCAGCTGAGTCTGGTACTGAGGACTCGTCCGGACACGCCATCATCTCCCTCTCTCCTTTCCTCTCTTCCTCTCTCCCTTCCTCTCCCTCTCTACCCATTCATTAACGTCTATATAAGCAAATATTCCTCAAGAGAACTACACCATTCCTCTGGTGGAGAGTGGCGGGGTTTACAGCTAAAATCTGGAATAAGTTTAATCTTTGGTCACTCGAACACATTTTAGATGTAAACACCAGTCGCAGAGGTTTATAATGTACTCACCTAGTTGTACTTACCCTTGTGAGTATAACTCCTTGTGAGTATAACTCACAAGGAAGGTGACTGAAGGAGAGGGAAGGTGACTGAAGGAGGGGGAAGGTGACCGAAGGAGGGGGGAGGTGGCTGAAGGAGGGGGAAGGTGACTGAAGGAGGGGGGAAGGTGAATGAAGGAGGGGGAAGGTGACTGAAGGAGAGGAAAGCGACTGAAGGAGAGGAAAGTGACTGAAGGAGAGGAAAGTGACTGAAGGAGAGGAAAGTGACTGAAGGAGAGGAAAGTGACTGAAGGAGGGGGAAGGTAACCGAAGGAGAGGAAGGTGACTGAAGGAGGGGGAAGGTGAATGAAGGAGGGGGATGGTGACCGAAGGAGAGGAAGGTCACTGAAGGAGGGAGAAGGTGACTGAAGGAGGGAGAAGGTGACTGAAGGAGGGGGGAGGTGCCTGAAGGAGGGGGAAGGTGACTGAAGAAGGGGAGGGGAAGGTACCTGAAGGAGGGGGAAGGTGACTGAAGGAGAGGAAAGTGATTGAAGGAGAGGAAAGTGACTGAAGGAGAGGAAAGTGACTGAAGGAGAGGAAAGTGACTGAAGGAGAGGAAAGTGACTGAAGGAGAGCAAAGTGACTGAAGGAGGGGGAAGGTGATTGAAGGAGGGGAAGGTGACTGAAGGAGGGGAAGTGACTGAAGGAGAGGAAAGTGACTGAAGGAGAGGAAGGTGACCGAGGGAGAGGAAGGTGACTGAAGGAAGGGAAGGTGACTGAAGGAAGGGAAGGTGACTGAAGGAAGGGAAGGTGACTGAAGGAGAGGAAAGTGACCGAAGGAGGGGGAAGGTGACTGAAGGAGAGGAAGGTGACTGAAGGAGAGGAAGGTGACTGAAGGAGAGGAAGGTGACTGAAGTAGAGGGAAGGCGACTGAAGGAGGGGAAGGTGACTGAAGGAGGGGAAGGTGACTGAAGGAGGGGAAAGTGACTGAAGGAGGGGGAAGGCGACTGAAGGAGGGGAGAGCTGACTGAAGGAGGGGAGAGCTGACTGAAGGAAGGGAGAGTGACTGAAGGAGGGGGAAGGTGACTGAAGGAGGGGAGAGCTGACTAAAGGAGGGGGAAGGTGACTGAAGGAGGGGAGAGCTGACTAAAGGAGGGGGAAGGTGACTGAAGGAGGGGAGAGCTGACTGAAGGAGAGGGAGAGCTGACTGAAGGAAGGGAAGGTGACTGAAGGAGGGGGGAAGGTGACTGAAGGAGGGGGGAGGTGACTGAAGGAGGGGAGAGCTGACTGAAGGAGGGGGAAGGTGACTGAAGGAGGGGAGAGCTGACGGAAGGAGGGGGAAGGTGACTGAAGGAGGGGAGAGCTGACTGAAGGAGGGGGAAGGTGACTGAAGGAGGGGAGAGCTGACTGAAGAAGGGGGAAGGTGACTGAAGGAGGGGAGAGCTGACTGAAGGAGGGGGAAGGTGACTGAAGGAGGGGAGAGCTGACTGAAGGAGGGGGAAGGTGACTGAAGGAGGGGAGAGCTGACTGAAGAAGGGGGAAGGTGACTGAAGGAGGGGAGAGCTGACTGAAGGAGGGGGAAGGTGACTGAAGGAGGGGAGAGCTGACTGAAGGAGAGGGAAGGTGACTGAAGGAGGGGAGAGCTGATTGAAGGAAGGGAAGGTGACTGAAGGAGGGGAAGCTGACTGAAGGAGGGGAGAGCTGACTGAAGAAAGGGAAGGTGACTGAAGGAGGGAAAGGTGACTGAAGGAGGGGGAAGGTGACTGAAGGAGGGGGAAGGTGGCTGAAGGAGGGGAGAGCTGACTGAAGAAAGGGAAGGTGATTGAAGGAGGGGGGAAGGTGACTGAAGGAGGGGGATGGTGACTGAAGGAGGGGGAAGGTGAATGAAGGAGGGGAGAGCTGACTGAAGGAGGGGAGAGCTGACTGAAGGAAGGGAAGGTGACTGAAGGAGGGGGGAAGGTGACTGAAGAAGGGGAAATTGAAGGAAGTGTCGCTATAGGTCGTCTGCTGCCCACCAGCGCGCCAAGGTCATGGAGGAAACTCGCACGGAGATATCTGTCCCCTAAAATCTCAAATCCGCAATTTCGAAAATTTTTTTATTTTAACACAAAATTTAAATGAATAATAAAATTAAGACTATGAATGCCTGTGTTGATTGGCGTGAGTTAGGAAGGAGAGGGCAGGTGCAGGAGGTCCTCCGTAGAAGCTTCCTACCCGGACACTGTAAACAGGAGCCATGGCTACGCGGAGAAGGACCTACTCTTCTGGCTCGGACGCTTCTGACCGATTTATCTCAATTAACGAGCGGCCCGTGGACGACATATCTCTAGAGTTCTTCTACAAGCCGCACAGCATCACTTTGCTTATCGTTATTATTTCCAGCTTGATTTATTTTGCTTTTACCAGGTGAGGTTCGGTGTCTTCAAACCTTGCCTACAAATGCTTGCATGTGGTCTATTTGACTCCTTTATTTTGCCGTGAGGCCTACAGTTTAATAGATACTATTAATTATATGATGATGGAAGTGTGTAGTATGAATTGCTGTTCAAAAAGCTGCAGATGAATCTACGGTTTAAGTCCACAGTTTTCCCGTATTTACCTGACGGGTTCTCTCGTCCCTAAACCTCAATATTGAGCTAGCCAAGCTTTTCTAAACTTCTTGGAAGAATAAGATTTGGAAGTATATTTTGCTACTGTAGTTTGATATTGTTTTGTCATCACGCTACACACTGGTCAATTTGTCCATATCTCGATTACGGTTCATGCCAGTGAACGATGAAATGGTCGTGTAGTACAGTTGGCTTCGGTCTCTACTTACAGTCTGGAATCCCGGGTTCAGTTCCCAGGTGGGACAGAGATAACTGGGCATGTTTCCTTTCACCTAATTCCTCTGGCTCACCTAGTCATAAATACGTCTCAAAAACCTATTTAAACCAAAAACCAAAGAGCCACACACAGAAACTATTTGGATTGAATTAAACGAAAAAGCTAATAATATTATAATAGGAGTAATATATAGGCCACCAAATTTAGACAGAATGGAAGCAAAGCATCTATGGGATGAAATATCTAGAGCATCTAGATCTAACAGTATTTGGCATGGGTGACTTTAATTTTAGCGGAATAAACTGGTTGAACAAAACAGGGAATAGTGAAGCAGAAGATTTTCTAGAATTAATTGACGATTGCTTTCTTACGCAACACATTAAGGAACCAACACGGGAAAATAATATTTTAGATTTAGTGTTAACTAACAGGGAAACGCAAATTAATGACATCGAAATAGGGAGTGAGCTAGGGAGCAGTGATCACAAAGAAATCAGATTTAGCATAGAATGGAATAGACCAGTAGGAGAAAATTCTGTTAAAGTGCCAGATTTTCGAAAAGCTGATTTTAATAGCCTAAGAAATTTTTTGGGTCAAATTGATTGGAAAGTCTTGGGTATGGGGTGTGGGCCGGTCTTGGAGCGAGACATGAACCCAGCGATAGGTGACTTAAATGGGGATTTCGATGTGGATTCAATATATAACTTATTTAAGAATATTCTAAACAAAGCACAGGAACGTAGTATACCATACAAATTGAATAGATCGAATACTAATGACCCAAAGTGGATAACAAAGAATTTGAAGAACCTTATAGGTAAAAAGAGAGCTTGGTACAAAAGGATTAAAAATGGGGAGGTCACTTTAGAACAGGAATTCGTACAACTGGTTAGAAATGTTAAAAAAGAGATAAGGAAAGCAAAAAGAAACTATGAAGTTCGCATAGCAGGGCAAGCAAAGACAAATCCTAAAGGGTTTTTTCAGTTATATCGTACTAAGACTAGGGAAAGGATAGGTCCATTAAAAACTGAGACAGGTCAAATAACAGATAGTGATGAAGAGATGAGTAGTATTTTTAATAAATATTTTGTATCTGTATTTACTAAAGAGGAACTTAACAATATGCCTTCAGCCGAACAAGTCTATGTGGGTGGGGACGAGGACAGGTTGACGAGTTTAGCAGTTACCAGGGAGGATGTTCTTAAACAAATAGTAAAACTCAAACCAAACAAATCCCCAGGGCCGGATGAAGTGTTTGCCAGGGTGCTTAAAGAATGCAAAGAGGAGCTTTGTGACCCACTGTCAACCATATTTAATAAATCAATAGAGTCAGGCAGAGTGCCAGAGTTTTGGAAAGTTGCTAATGTGATACCAGTTTTTAAGAAAAGAGATAGATCACTTGCGTCTAACTATCGACCAATTAGCCTAACGTCTATTGTGGGAAAGTTACTCGAATCTATAATAGCAAATAAAATTCGTCTTCATCTTGAAAAACATAAATTAATAATTGAGTCGCAACATGGTTTTATAAATGGCCGTTCATGTTTAACAAATTTGTTATCTTTTTATTCTAGCATTGTTGAGGCAGTTGATAGTGGTAAGGATTGCGATGTTGTATACCTTGACTTTAGCAAAGCTTTTGATACAGTGCCACATGAAAGACTGATTAAAAAAATAGAGTCTCATGGTATTGGGGGTGCTATATTAAGCTGGATTAGGGCATGGCTATACCAAAGGAAACAGAGAGTTAGTATAAATGGAATCAAGTCAGAGTGGGAAAATGTTGTAAGTGGAGTGCCTCAAGGCTCTGTCCTGGGACCTCTGTTGTTTATAATATATATAAATGATTTAGATTCAGGTTTGAGTAGCAACATTTGCAAATTTGCCGATGATACGAAAATCGGTAGGGAAATTAATTCGGAGGAGGACTCACTATCACTTCAAGTTGATCTAGATAGGGTTTTGAAATGGTCAAAGGATTGGCAGATGCAGTTTAATGCTGATAAATGTAAAGTTCTGAGGTTAGGTAATGATGATAGAGTTACAAGATACGAGCTAGATGGTGTTGTGATTGCGAAGTCGGATTGCGAAAGGGATCTGGGAGTTATGATTAGTAAGAATTTAAAACAAAAGGATCAATGCATAAATGTTCGTAATAAGGCAAATCGGACACTTGGATTTATTAATCGCAGCGTTAGTAACAAGACACCTGGTGTGGTTCTCAAGCTATATCTTGCTCTAGTTAGGCCCCATTTAGATTATGCAGTTCAGTTTTGGTCGCCATATTATAGAATGGATATAAATTCACTTGAACGTGTCCAGCGTAGGATGACTAAGTTAATTCCCCAAATTAGAAATCTTTCATATGAAGAAAGATTAACAAAGCTTAAGTTGCATTCACTGGAAAGGCGAAGAGTTAGGGGTGACATGATAGAGGTTTACAAGTGGATGAATGGACATAACCGGGGGGATATTAATAGGGTATTAAAAGTATCAACACAGGACAGAACACGAAACAATGGATATAAATTGGATAAGTTTAGATTTAGGAAAGACTTGGGTAAATACTGGTTCAGTAACAGGGTTGTTGATTTGTGGAACCAATTGCCGCGTAACATTGTGGAGGTGGGGTCCCTCGATTGTTTCAAGCACGGGTTGGACAAGTATATGAGTGGGATTGGGTGGTTATAGAATAGGAGCTGCCTCGTATGGGCCAATAGGCCTTCTGCAGTTACCTTTGTTCTTATGTTCTTATGTTCTTAAAAGTCTAAAAAACGATTAGAATACTTTCTAAAATCAGATTCTGTACATTGTATTATGTTCCAAACTCTGCTCTCTTAGAGGAGAGCAGAGCTCATTATACTATGCACTAATCTATCCCTATCTTACATATGGTGTCTGTGCATGGGGCTCACCTCTGAAAACTACTTCAAGTCCATCATCACTCAGTAAAAATCTGCTATCAGAACAATAACAAACTGTCTTCAGACAACACACAGCCCCTCTGTTTAAATCCCTAAACATGCTAAACATAAACTCACTCCACACATTCTCTTGTACCATTGACATGTATAAAACTTTGTTCCTAAATGCAAATCCTGATGTGAAACTCTTCCTTGACAGATGTAATAGAACCCATAATCACCACACCAGAAATAAATATCTGATATCCCCAGAGTCAAACTAAATCTGTGTAAACACACTGCAAATATAGGGACCTAGTCAGGAATTCACTCCCTATGGAATTAAAAAGCTGTCCAACCTATGCCTTATTCAACAGTAAAACAAAAAAATACCTAATTTCATCCTCAGTTTCCTACCTAGTGCTTCCAACCCACACTGTATCTTGTGCTACCCACTCCCCCCAATATATGTGCCTCAGCCATACAACTTTACCAGTGTAATCACTGCTATCATCTTATATCATCGTTGTTATATTGAATGCAAATTTTACTACAATAGACCTAGAAATAATCCTCAAATTATGCTACAATGTACCTATTGATAATCCTACTAATTTTCTTCAAATTTTCTTACAATGTATCTATTAAAATTTTTCAATTTTGCTAAGCACAATCAGAGAAGCACTGTATGAATACCAGAGGTCTGTAGCTCTTCAACTTCCTGTCTATCAAATACATTATAAGAAATATTGCCATATCACAGGTGGAAGTTTTCAAGTGGAAACTCTGCAAGTTCCTGCATGAAGTGCTGGACCAGCTGGGTTGTTTTATTGTTCAATTTTTTTACTTGTTTTCCTAAAGTTTTTCATTGGTTTTCTCAGTTTTTGGTAAATTTTTGATCTTGAAGCTGTCCTCAGTTTGTAGAAAGAGACAGTTCTTGTCCTGGCTTTCGGTAGGTGAGTATGGGTGTCAAGGTCTGGTGCGGTTCCTGAAGTTTTGGCTTTAACAGCGCTCTGGGTAGTTTCTAGGAGCTCACCAGGAAGGGGCATTTCATTACTTTTAACACTTGATTTTTGTTACTGTTCATTCTTGCTTGCTCAAAACTTGTGTAGTTAGGGTTCATATCATTTGTATTTGTGCAACTTTCATGCATTAACCTTAACAAGAACTTTATCCTGCTCTGTAAAATAAGCCTTCACAACATTTATAATGCCTTTCATAATATTCTGCATAAATTTGATATAATGATAGGTTGCTTTACAGGATAACCTTATCCTTTTATTTAAACGCTGAAAGATTTATTCTCAAGGATGTTAATTTTTACAATGATATGAAATTATTTTACTATAGCAGTATCGTAATAAGACAAAATTTAAATACAGAACCCCATTATTTTATATAAAAATCTATTTTAATACTTAGAATTAAGTTTTCCCTTAAAATTCTGTGGACTGTTGGGCTTTTAGTCGTAATATTCAAAATAAATCCATTGAACAGTCTCCGTGGTGTAGTGGTAAGACACTCGCCTGGCGTTCTGCGAGCGCTGTCATGGGTTCGTATCCTGGCCGGGGAGGATTTACTGGGCGCAATTCCTTAACTGTAGCCTCTGTTTAACGCAACAGTAAAATGTGTACTTGGATGAAAAACGATTCTTCGCGGCAGGGGATCGTATTCCAGGGACCTGCCCGAAACGCTACACGTACTAGTGGCTGTACAAGAATGTAACAACTCTTGTATATATCTCAAAAAAAAAAAAAAAAAAAAAAAAAAAAAAAAATTAAAATTGTTTCTTCTAGGGATGAAAATGAGAGCATCCAGTCAAATATCCAGTATGGTCTGGGAGCCATGGTTTTCTTTTTCCTCATCATTAGCATCATGGCATTTCCAAATGGGCCTTTCACTCGACCACATCCTGCTGTCTGGCGTGTTGTGTTTGGTCTCTCAATACTGTATATGCTCTTGCTGCTCTTCATAATTTTCCAGGTAAGATACACATTATACAGCAGACTATAATGATAATACAGTAATTGTAATTAAAATTATAAAGTGTTTTATAATAATAATTTTTTTGTATAAATTCAACTAGAGAAATTAAATTCAAATTAATCCTTGACAAAAGTGCACATTTTTTTTATATTGGTTAATTTTTGGGTAGATTCTTCAGTAGCTTCACTTGACTTATGTCATTAGCACACTTGGACACATGTAATGTTAATTACTCTCGTATCACTACCAGGACAATGCTCAGTGTAATGTTAGTTACTATGATGACACAATCACATAGTATGGCAGTTTTAGATGTATGGTATATTGGTACTATCTGTGTGGCGGACATCTGTGTGCTCATTGTGGCTGCAGGCATGCTCTCTTGGACAGTTTCTAAGCTATATTATTACTTTCCCTCTTGCTGGCCTCTCCCTTTTCTGCTCCTCTTTTCTGAGGAGGTGGATTGTGGGTGACTTGACTACTATAGGTGTATTCTTCTAACCTTTTCACCAGGTGATTTGGTTGAAACCTGTTCAGCCTGCTTCTCAGGGTGTCGTCATTCTGGGGTGTCTCAAGTTCCTGGACAAGGTAATGGTGCTTGTGCCTCAGTGGCTTGCGTGAGTGCTAGCCCTTGCCCTTCGCCTTTGGGTAAGAAAGATGGCTGGTGGCATTGGGGTTCCATCCAGGCAGTTCTTTTATGGTAAGCCCCAGCAATGGTATTTTTAGGGGATATTTGGGAACCTTCCAGAAAGTTTGAACCATGATGTCTGGGCTATTTTGTGTTGTCTACATATGGTCTCACCTGGGTCTGGTTGCATTCACTCTCTTCCCCAGGTGCCTTGGTATCCTACCCACTTATTTTTTCTCTTCCTAACACTCAAGATTTGTTGGACAAGGTGTTTATAGCAGTAACTTCTCTTCAGGTGGTGTTCTGTTTGTTTCTTGTTCCAAGAAGGTGGTCTGTGATGCCTAGTATGAGATCTGTAGAGGCTCAACAGGCACATACCTTGTCTGACATTTCATACAACCACTGTTCCTTTGATTTGCCAGGTGGTGTTGAGTTAGTTTTGGCTTATTTTTCTGGAACTGAAAGTTGCCTATTGGCATGTGCTCACCCATCTGGAAGTTAGGGTAATGGCTGGGATTTCAATTGGGTGGGCTCTTAACATTTTGATGGATAGGCCAATTTTGGGCTCTATCAATTTGACTTGACTTGTGCACTCAGAACATTTCCCAAACTCAAGTGGTCATTTATTGAGCCCACAGTTTCAGGGTATCTGAGTTCTGTCAGGGGAGTGATTTTTCAATTGCTGATATATGCTATATAGTCATAATGACTTGGTGCTTTCTCTTGATAGTTCCCTTCCCTGGCCTGCTTTGTTTTGCATTGTCAATCATGAAAATTGCCGATGGAACCAGCTCAGTCTCTGTCTTGGTAGGGGTTGTTGTGGAATGCCAGGATTGCCTCCCTCTTCATGTAAGAGTTAACCTTGCTGCATCTGGCCACTCATTTCTGTCTGATGTTGGGCAAGGGCCTACTTTTCTATTGGCAGCTTGAGTATTGAGATGTCTCAACTTTGCCTGTGTGGTGTATCTTGAAAATGTTGTCACTTTCTGTAGTGGTCAGTGCTTCATTGGCTCAGATAGTGCATATAGTGAGCACGAAAAGCTCTGAGGAGGAAAATCTTGCTTTTGCTACGTTTCTTCTTAAAGCACTTTACAGTCAAGTTTTGCGGCATCCTCTTCTCACTGGTTCGAGCTGAAGACATGCACGTCACATCTGGACTGGGGGTTTGTCTCCAGTGGTCATCATACTGGATGGGGAGTGTGGTCCCTGCATTTTTGGCAGACTTCCAACATTGAGAGTTAATTGTGATTTGGTTGGGCCTTTAGCACATTTGTCTCTGGCAGGTCTTGGCAGTCAGTGTCCATTTGTATTGCTTTTACTGGTTCTTCTCGGTCCCTGCCTCTGTGTGCATTGACTCTGGGGATAGCCTTGCTTCGGAATTCTCCGGCTGCCACCTGGTGGTAGAGATTTGTTTCGTAGTTTGGTTAATTTGCCATATAATTCTAGTAGGGAGGGTATGTTGTGTGACCTATTTTTGATGCTTTAATTGGGGATTACCTCAGAACTGGGTTGATCTGTTACCTATATGCTCCCTGCCCTGTAAAGGAGGCAGGGGGATTTGCAAAGGCCCATATTCCCAGTGGGTTGAGATAGTCACAGGAGCCTGGTGTATCCAGTATGTTCTACATTTGCCAGTGAGCTACTAAAAGGCCACCCAAAGAGGGCCATTCCATTTTATTCAATATTTTTGCCGTACACAATACAGTACTCATATTACACGACTTGTTAAAATTTAATTTCAAGAAAACTTTGTTAATTTTACTTTTCTGTAGTTGAGTGAATTTTTTTAATAATACCTGTAGACAGTACTCTATAACTGAATTTATCTTTTTGGTTCAATTTTTTCTTTGATTATTCTTTTCACTGATACCCCATTTGTTTAGGATTACAGGATTTATAGTTACTTGTACTTTACTATACTGTATTAATTTTTTATCAGGACTACAGAACTGTTCGAAGTATGTTTGAGTGGTTCTTTCCTGAGCTGAAAAACTTCACCATTGATATGGATAAGGTGGGTATGATATTGCCTTGTAAAATTTCCTAAATGGATTTCTCTTCCATTGATTAAAAAAATTATTATACAGTACTGTACTTCATGCATTACAATAGCATAAACATACAAGTGTAACCCCTGTAAAATGGGGTACAGTAATTGGGACTTGACCCTTCTCAAATTTTCAAGTTTGTTATATCAAGGTTTATCAGTTTTCTGAGAAGGCCCTGTCAGCAGGTCCCCAATACTACAACGCAGCAGCAGCCATGCCTTGGGGTATACCCCCAGTACTTCATGACCTATCGGCACCAACTACATGGATATAAATAGGTGCTGCCTAGTATGAGCCAATAGGCCTTTGCAGTTACCTTCATTCTTATGTTCTTATGTTTTTAACTGATTACCAAGACCTGAATCAGATTTAGATGAAAGAGAGCCTAGGAATAAAAGATAATCACAGAACCAAGCAAGAGATTTGTCAGGAAGTGAAAACATTGCAAAATGAGCAACTGTTTGGAGAAATTTGTTACCCAGATGAAAACGATGCCAACAATAATTTCTACCATGAGAACACTGCCTAGATACACACATGAATGCCAACAAATGGCAGCGCAAGGTTACAAATTTTGCAAGCAGCTGCTTGCTCTGGTGCTTTTGTTTGCTCTATGCTTGGTACTGTGATCTCTGCTTGCGGTGATCTCGTGGGCTCTGGCTTGGTTGCTTGCACGTTGAAGCATCAAGGAGCTGCTGAGTGGCCCACATGAAAGAGGCATTTCATTACATTCAATGCTGAATTTTAACCAAAATTTATTGTTTGAATGTCATGTGGCCATGACAAGGAAAAGTATTTTAATTACATTCAGACATTGGCAAATGTGATGTCTATGGCATTGTCTACAGCATATCTGTGGTTTACCCAGGAAGTTTACATGAGGCAAAACTAATGTTAAATTTATTAATAAATGTTAAGTGTACCTAATAATGAATGGGGGTACACAACTCCTATTCACAATATAAATAACTTTTATAAATAATTTATATGAAAATTTTCGTGACATTTTTTTTTATTTTGACTTTCAACTATTTCTCCTCATCCCCAAAATATTGAATATTGAATAAATTTGTAACCAAAAACTTCAAAAGTTACTAATGTTACAGTACTTGTAATGCTTTCTGGATATTCCTAATACAACTGTGACTCATTTAATAAAAATTGATTGAAAAAAAGTTGTTGGTTGTATTGAGCTGGAGCATTTCTTTTCCTTCTTGCCTACTTAGAAAACTAGTCTCAGTTTAAAGTAGTCTTTAAGAACCTATTGCCAATAAAAATGGCAGGATAAAATGATTTTCAGATTGAGTGTCAAGTAAATCAGACAATGTTATTTAAAATTTTTAAAGTATTGGAAATGCAGTTTGTTTAAATGCAAAAATTATAAATCTTTGCCAAAGGGGCTTTGCTTCCTAGTTGCCTTGCTCAAAGGTAAGCCAGCCCCTCTATTTCTCATCTGGTTGATGAATTTTTCATTATGATCTTTTGTGTAGATAGTGAATGTCTGTTTTATCATCCTGGTTCACATTGCACTCAAGGAGTTTATGAGGGCCATAATAATTATCAATGCTTTTCTGTATTTTGTTGCTTTTGGTGTGAATGGCTAAGGATTGGGAAGCACATAAGGATCTTTCTTTTTTGGGATTGTATGTAAGATTATTCAAAGTGTTATTTTTATTTTCACTTACTAATCTTTAAGAGCCATCCGTCAATATCATAAGCTAATTTTGCACACAGTTGCATGAATTTTAAGCAAAGAAATGTATCTTTAGCACTGTTAGCAAAGCATGTTACATCACACACCCTTTCCGAACCTTCCTTTACACCAAACTCCCACCCCCTTCCGAACAGGGTGAATGGGGAGAGAAATGTGATGATCTTACCTTTGCGCGACTGTGGGAGAGCATAGACTTTTTCTGCTTTGCACACTTCGCAGGGTGGACCATGAAGACACTGCTCGTACGGCACTATGGCATCTTGTGGACTATCTCAGTCATGTGGGAGATCACCGAGGTAAATGTGCCTGTTTTTCACTTTTGTGTTGTTGAAGGAGTTAATCTTATTGAATATAAAAAGAATAAGAATACACTGAAAATGTACAATTAATATTTTCAAATCTGCAGTTAAACATATGAGATAACCCATTTGGTTGTCCTTAAAGTAAGATTCCACAGTCAATGGAGAAGTGAATTGTGCAGTCAAGAAGGGACATTTAAAATACATGTGCCATAGAGAACTATTTGAACAGTCCTGCAGGGTCATAGGCTGCTGATACAGTACAGTATTTAAAAGCACTATAACAAATCATCCAGCTAAAACAAGCTTTGGAAAGCTTAAAGTATATGCATAAAAGGACTTTCCAAGCATTCCTTGTCAACCCTGAGTTAGCAGGCTACTGTTTGGCTCGTCTGAGGCTTACTCTTCCACCATCATATGGCAACACTTAAGGCACAACATGGTCGGCCTCACCAATCCACCTCACATTTGTTCCTTACTCTCTATTGTGCACTCAGCAGCCAGACAACTGGAATTAAGTGGATTGTTCATCATTGGAACATTGTACAGGGGTACATTAGGTCCATGCTGTTCTATATTACACTTTTATATATATGTATATCAAGTTTTACAAGTATCAAGTATGTGTTTTTTATGTATGTGTATTCTTTGGGTTTTTGCTAGTTTGGCTTTTTCACTGGTTCAGCAGTGGCTTGCTCAGGGAGTATGTACCAATCTTTCATGATCTTCAGGTACTTGGTACCTTAACCTTGGATGTTCATGATTGAAACTGGACACTGGATGCATATTACTCACCATTTTCTATGGTTGAATGCTGTTTAGTTTATCACCAAGTCATTTCTTGGCTCGGCATCATGGTATCCTTTTTTCTTTTGTTGTCAAAAGTAGGACAACCCTTAAGTAATGGAACACTCAGTTGGACTTCTGCTTGTAATTCAGTCAGGAGCAGCAGAATGATGACCTCTTATTGCTGTGTGTTCTGAATGTTGGGCAGTTTTGCACAGCACTTTGGAAATCTACAGCCTGCTGCATAATGCAACATGAAGGACCTCGGCAATGAGTTTTATCTTTATAGTTGTGGGTAGAATTGACTTCAACAACCTCTTCCTTCAATGCAATATTTGTGTACAAAGGCAAGAGTGTCTTAAATCATCCGAAAAGTGGTAAAACTCAGTCAGTCCAAATCTGTGTGTGTTTGTGTGTGCGTGTGTGCAAATAACCTTTAGTAGTGTACAACTCTTAAAGTCTCTTAGCAGTTACTTGTTCCAAAAGTTTTTATCACATTTTAGCCAGAGGTTTAAATGCATGTTTTACAGCTTGGTACCGGGCCAAGTTTACTTTACAGGTTACCAAGCGGGATAGCTCCAAAAATAGTCTTTAAGAGTATGTTAAAATTGCATTGAGCAGACTTGCTTGGTTACCCACAGTCTATTCCTTCTTTGTGGCCTTCCTTGTATACAGTTTCTTTGATCAGAAACACTGTAATGAAATTGGTGTGGTGGACCATGTTGTGGATGAGGTACTAGCCAACCTGTAGTGTGATCTCAAGGTTTCCAAGATGGGCTTGTAAAGGCTCTTTATGTATATGACTGGATTTTTCTGTAGTTCACTTTGGCTGGTGATTTCCTCCAGTGCTGCCTAGTGCCTGTATGACTGGGGATGTCTGAAAAGTTCTTGTGACAGTATCTTAAATGTTGCTCTTCCTGACTGCACAGTTTGCTCCACAATTGAAAGTGAAATTATGCCTGACGGGACAACGAAGTGAGGTTACTTTGAAATGTACATTTCATATACAGTAGAGTACACTCAAAGCCTATTTATTTTAGGAAATCTTATTCTAATAATTCATGTATGAAGATTTGCCTCCCTGAAGCATTTAAAAGCCTGAATTGCAAGCAGATAACAAATTGCAAGTACTTATGACCTTGTTTTTTCTGTATTTTTGAATGAAAGAAAGTGCATCCTATATAGAAGAGTTAAGCAATGATATTCATATGTAGAAACTAAATGATAGTTATTTAGATAAATATGAAGTTAATGTGAAGAAGTTTTGTTCAAGTCAAGAATATTTATGAGCAATATTTTGTGATACTTTAGGCAGTCTTAAGACAACAATGAATGATAAGGTTGTGGAGAATATAAGGGTGAAGAAAGGGGTTAGTGATGGGTTAATATTAAGTATATTGGAATCAGGAAGAGGAGTACATGAAGTAATCTTCCTTGGGGAATACAAGGCAAATACAGCATGGGCATCCATGGTGGCTTACATTTTCTTGGGCATCTCTTCAAAGAAGGTTTCTATAGAATGTGAAATATTACAAGTTAAAATGCATAGGTTGGAAAAAATACATGAAGATGTGGAATTTTGTTGTTAATTTGCTTATGTATATGTACCTTATTTCTCACAGACTGCATTCTCACATCTGCTGCCAAACTTTATGGAATGTTGGTGGGATGCTGTCATTCTGGATGTTCTTCTGTGTAATGGTTTTGGGATATGGTGTGGCATGCAGATATGCCACTTAATGGAGATGCGGTACTACAATTGGGAAAGTATCAAGTAAGATCATTTGCTTCATTTTTAGCTTTTCAACATGTCATGGATCTTAGAAACCTTCAAGTTTTCTAGGAGGATGCATGCTAGCTTGAAGGAAATAATGAGAAATGGTAACATTTATGTGTGCTAGTCCTCTAGATAAGGATACATGATTGTATTAATGATGACAATATATACAACACACGTGTTGTATGCTGGGATAATTATTATATAAAAGTATACAATTGATTACCTATATAGTGCAGCCTCAGACAATCTCCACTGCATCATTCCGTTCTCTGTTTTACGAATTTCTTAGATATTTCACTCTGGGAAGATTTCTCTCTCTGAAGTTCCTACAGGGCCTCCTGTGTGGCTTCGTGAAACGTGCACACTGTTATAGCCAAGCCTTAGGCATGAATGACACCAGGCCTCTTGAGATGCTCTCGGGCCCACCAGAACCAGGACCAGAATCTGGTGCTCAACTAGGCGAGGGAACTTGGGGGAGCAGAGATCTACCCAAAACGGAATAAACCAACCATGAAGGTTAGGTGAAACAAAACATGTGCCTGTCAGAAAGAAGGAAAAGATCTTGAAGCAAACAAGGCAATTTATTATTGCTATGGGCAAACAACATTATACCTAACCCCGATATGTCTGGCCATCATTTGATGGCGGTTCAAGTGAACTGCAGTTCTACACTGTTCTTCAGGAACAGCTGAACTGCGACTTTTTTCAACCAAGTGGTGCTGGAATAATTGTTCCCCAAGAGGCCATTGCTTAATTTTCTTCCATTTATGTTTCGTGATTGTGTTTTGTATCACCCATGTTGCATGTTCTCTGGCTTGTTTTCCACTCCTTTTGTGAGCCTCTGTTCCCTTCCCTGGTGGTTGGCCTGTGTTTTCTTTCCTCAACCAGTGATGCCAGCCATGAGGGGTTTGGGTTTGGTTAGGGCAGGAATGTTACACAAGAATTTAAACAGTCTTTAACAATGGGTTAAAATTTGCAGTGCAATACTGAGAAATGTAGAATTCTAAGCCTAAGGAAACAAACTGTGGCATATTTCAGCACGTCATAGTGATATACTGTATCTGATATGCCATTAGACCAAGAATCTACTGTATTTTCTATGCCATATTTTTTATGTATGTTGGTAGCTACTGGTAATTAAATTCTGTTAGTAATATTTATAGTTGACTAGTATTCAATTTTAAAATAATTTGAATTATATTTAAGAGTCATGCATATGCCTGTATTTTTTCTGGAAATGTAATAACATGTAGTTAATGTTACAGGGACATTCAGACCACGACTGGCAAGCTGAAGCGAGCTGTGCTGCAGTTCACCCCTGAATCATGGACAGCCATGAGATGGTTAGATCCTGCTTGCACTTACATGCGTTTTTTGGCAGTATCACAGCTTGTGGTTTTCTGGCAACTTGCAGAGCTTAATACCTTCTTTCTCAAGCACATATTTCAAATGCCTCCAAGCCATCCACTTGTTTTTGTGAGGATATTCTTGCTTGGAGCTACATCTGCACCAACAATAAGGTAAGTGTGCCTGTGCATACTAGATCAAATGTTTTATAAACTTTAGATGCTTAGGTGCAAATGTTTACATTTTTCTGATATACTTGTGAGCTGAGGCTATTAAGTATCTCCCTGAGTAATGTCCCCACATGGTTCACCCAGACCACAAAACATGACAGGCTCTGTTGACTTGCTCCCTTAACATGGCAGGGATCTTTGCTAATGGACTGCTACATATTTGAGAAGGGAAGCCAGTTGAGACATCTCTCTGCACCACTCAGCCACCAGCTATGATTACAAAGAATAACAACAATTCTCAACACCTGTTGCAAGCCAATACAAATATTTAAACATAAATGTCTAATGCTCCTTCCATTTCCGAGCCACAAGTTCAGCACATACTGTACTGAAGTCCAGATTGCTCACAATGATGCAGTAATACAGTATACTGTTACACAAAACTTTATAAAACACATGAAAGTAGGGTATATATCAGTTACAGCCCTGCTCCTGTGCCAGGTAAGTTCACTACGGGCTCACCATAGCCTATACTAAAAACTTTTGTTCCGAGAAGCTGAATCTAAAACAAGAAGAAGTAGGGGTATATAGGTTCCTAACTTACTGCTGATAATGTGATTGTCCAAAAGATTAGGTAGGATTATCCATGCTAAGCTTTGATATTCCATTATCAGCCTGCAGAACTTTAATTCACCCTCACACTTCAAAATTTAATATAAACATAAATAACTACTGTACCCTAAATTTCTGTAATTCAATATACTGACCACACAGTAATTCAAATCTCTTATTTATCCATATCTTTGGGTAACTTGGCTATTCGCTGCCTAGATTGATAAATTTGTTGGAATTCTTATTACAAAGATTAACGGATAAGTTACGGTCCTTGACAACCTGTAGGCCGATGTTCACTAACATTCACAAAACATAAACATACTGTAGTCTAAAGCATTATCAATATAAAATAAGTCATTAGTGTGCATGTTTGAAAGATTGAGATATGAGTGCCTTTAAGAATGTGGGTGTAAGTGTAGTATTATTACATAATTGGGATTTCAAGATAGAAGGAATTCCTGAAACTGGCAAAAGGATATAGATTCACACTAAGGAAACAAAGGTGCCCCCAAAATATTAGAAAGTGTTCTTTTGCAATCAGAGTGGTAGATGGTTAGAACAAGTTAAGTGAAAAAGTTGTGGAGGCCAAAGCCATCAGCAGTTTCAAAGCATTTAAGACAAAGGGTGCTGGGAAGATGGGATACAATGAGTAACTCAAGCTCTCAACCCTGTAACTACACTTAGGTAATTACACAGATGCATGGAACTAATTGGTATAATTCAGTTTAAGATGCCAGATACAGTTGCACTGACAGATGAAACTTGAAGAAAATATTTTAAATGAGGACATATTCCTGAAAAGCTACTCAATTTGGAGATGACAGTAAAATTAGAGAAAGGGTAGGGGTTGTGTTGGTGAAAAAAACACCTGTAGGGAAGAGAATTTATAATTGCCAACCCACGAGAAGTTGACATAATGGCACTCCAGGTTTAGAATCGGGATGATAAACTGATAATCATAAATGCCTTCAGTTGACTAGCAAGCAACACATGGACAAAGGAGGACCTGATAACAAACAAGGGGGACCTCATAATGATCATGAGAGAGACTATAGTAGAGGAAAATAAAGATAAAAATAAATTACTATTGTTGGCAGATTTGTAAACCTCATCCTGGAGGCATTGCCACATTATAGAATGAGGAATAGGAGAAAATAGGTCACATGCAACATACAAATTATGTGAAAAGTCTTTAAAGAATGCTGGTAAAGAGATCTAGGAGCAGTCCTAGATAGAAAACTGTCACTTAAGGACCGCATAAAAAACATTCTGCGAGCAGCTTATTCGATGCTTTCCATCCCCAGAATCGCTTTTGAATATGGCTGGCGAAATATTAAAGAAATTGTTCATTACCTTCATGAGGACAAAATTGAAATATGCACAAGATGAATGTGCAAAATATGGGTAACAATGTTGAACATGTATCCTGTTTTTATGGATAAAAAAAAAAAATTGTTTTCATTTATGTGGAAAATAAAAAAATTGGTCTTAAATGTATGGTATCGAGCTCAAAACATCATAGACTTCGTATTGACTGCTTTCTTGAATTCTAAAGATATGCTGTATATATAGTTTTGAGTTTTAATGAAGTACAGTAAATGTAATTGATAATTGCTAATCTTAGTAATTTTGTTGCAAGGTAATGCAATTAATTTGATTTTCTTATACATACAGGCAATACTACAGCTACGTGACTGACCCCAGGTGTAAGCGTGTAGGAACACAGTGCTGGGTGTATGCTCTGTGCATGTGCACTGAATCTCTGATCTGTATCAAGTTTGGAGCAGATATTTTTCAGCACACTCAGATCCGAAATATCATTGCGTGGGTGTTGGTTCAAGCAGCTGGATCAGTGATGTGTGTGTATTTATGCGTCACACACCATAGGTGGCAACGGAAACGCCAAGTCAGCATGGTAAGTAAATAATTTTCTGAAGTATTTGTTTATGTAATATGCAGTCTTTGGTTTCACATTTGCTTGCATCTCTATAGCCAAGCTCTCATCCCTGTGCCTAAATTTGGGTAACTACGTACAGATGCATGTGTGTAGTTACAAACTTAGTTTGTCTTTCTTATTTTGTAGTTTCTTGTAATATACTTTTGAAGCTCCCAATGATGCTGGCTTACATCACATTTTTAATTGTTTTTCCATCTGTCTACTACCTCGTCTGCAAAAGAGAAGATTTATACATTTTTGCCACTTTTGATTTTGGAATGTGTGCCAATGTTGACCAGGCCACACACTAGAAAGTGAAGGGACGACGACGTTTTGGTCTGTCCTGGACCATTCTCAAGTCGATTTTCACAATCGACTTGAGAATGGTCCAGGACGGACCAAAACGTCGTCGTCTCTTTCTAGTGTGTGGTCTGGTTAACATACTTCAGCCACGTTGTTGTGACTCATCGCCTGCGTGTGCCAATGTTGTCTTGTTTTTATGTAGTTTTGAAAGTTTTAAAAAGTCCTCCTTATCTCTTTCAGTATTCGACATAATTTTGTATGTAGTGATTATAACGCCCTTCTGCTTCTGTCAACCAATTATGTTATATTTAGCTCTTTATTTTTTGTTTCAGTCCAGGAGCCATTTAGTAGCATGCCTTTGGACATTTCTATTTTGTTTTTTTAGGGGTTGTAGACACCACACGACAGTGGCATATTTTAGCTTAGGTCTCACAGATGTCATGAATTTTGCTTAACCATTCCTCTTCATTAGTTTAAAGGCAATTGAATAATTGGCTAGTGCAGCCCTTAATGTGGCCCTCTGGCAACAATTTGTACTATCCAAGATAGTCTCCAAGATAGATAGTCTCTATCTTGGATAGTACTATCCAAGATAGTCAAAGATCTTTAGTCTCTTTTTGTAAAGTAAAATTTTGTAGGATGTTTTTGCTAATTCAAAAGCTGATTGTAGCCTGATTTCACATATCCTGCATTCCATTACACGTATTTATCCACATTAAGTTCCATTTACTATGTAAATTCCATGTGGTAATTTTGCATAGGTAATTTTGAAGGGTATGACAGTCATTTAGGGGATTTATTCTTCACAGTAGCTAAGCATCATCTGAAAATATGTTCATTTAACTGTATTCCTTCAAGTAGGTTATTAATGTAAACTAGGAATATTGCTGGCACTAGTACTGAGCCTTGTGGAATTATGCAAATGACATTAATCCTGTCTGATTCATTGCCTCTTAATTGCTGCTCTCATCCTCCGACATATACGGAAGGGTTTTCTTCCATGCTAATACTACTCCTGTGTGCACCAACTTGCACACAGATGCATTGACCTTCTTATTGCTATTTATTTCCAGATATTCCACTCATTCTAATTTGATTGTCTTTTCTAGTGGCCATGATACTAGTTCAGTGGGTTATCTGTTTTTCTTGTTTTTTTTATACAAGAACTATGTTATTTTCCAAATTCACTTTCCCAATGTGAACTTTGTAATGTTTTCGGGAGCTTTGTTTCTTTAGTTTGAACCTGTGTCTTCTTGAAGTTCCAGCTTTCAAAAATTCTTCATTGTCAATTTTGTCAATCCCTGTTACTCTTTTGTAAGTAGTGATCATATCACTTTTTTCTCCTATCTTCCATCTTTGGTATGTTTAATGCGTCTGACCTTTCCTTGTAACTCTTGTCTTTCAGTTCCGGGAGCCATTTAGTTGTAAGTTTTGCACCTTTCCAAGTTTGTTGATGTGCCTCTTAAAGCTGTAATTACCTAAGTGTGTTTTGGGATCAATTGTTGTTGTGCCTTCATCAAATATCTTGCTAAACTTGGCATATATCTCATTTACTTCCTTGTCTAAGAACAAGTCTTTCCAATCAAAATCATTAAAGAACTTGCCAAGTCTTGCATAGTGTCCTCTCCTGAAATCAAGTTTTTCAGTTACTTCATATTCCTCATTCTCTTCTAGCTTGTAATGCATTACATATTTTATTTCCTAAAGGACATGGTTGCTCTTACCATGTCCTTTAGGAAATAAAATATGTACTTTACTGGAGGAATGTACTGAATGTTAAATGTGTTCTTTCTTGGCGAATATCAAATCCAGCAGTGTAGAAACATCCAGTGTTTATCAACGAATGTCTCCAGGATAAGGTTTACGAATTTGCCAGTCCAAAAGTCCTCTGTTCTTGCTTCATAGTCTTCCCAGTCTATTGATTTCAAGTTGAAGTCACCAAATACCAACAATCATAATTTAGCTGTATCTGCTCTTACTATAATCTTTCTCATGATTGCTATGAGGCCTTCTCATTTGTCAATTAGCTCCTCCTGTCTGTGTATTACTTGCTGGTGGACTGTAGGCATTTATGATTATCACTTTATCATTATAATTACAAATCTCAAATGCAATTATGTCAACTTGTGTGTTTGTATGATCTAATATATCATCAATGCACAGTGGCACACTACATTCCTTTTATTTTGTAGGTCTACTCTAATTACGGAATCTCTTCTGTTCCCTCTCATTCGGTATTTTGGGTATAGTAGTGGTATGTTCAAAGTTTAAATCATATCTTTCTGGACCCGATCCAAATTTGCATGAAATCCAGATTTTCCTCAATTTGGTGTTACTGGGAGGTCTTTTGCAGTGGGTCCTTGGTGCTTGCTACCTGGCAAGCTCCACCCAATTTAATCTATGTTAAACCCTTGTGAGATCTATATAAGCCTAATGGGGACCAGAAGCAAAAACCTGGCTATAGAAAGCAGGACAGTGAAGTCCCAAGATTCAGTGGTGGTAAAGCTATTCTCATGTTAGTTCCTACTGTGCACCACCAGGAGACTGCACACCTTCCTCCTTGTTCAGCTTGAGTGATATAGCCAATAAGTTAGAAAACTGAAGCCTCTGACTTAGGAATGGGAAGGAACACAAGGAATCACCAAGGACCCACCAGAAAAAGGTATTTCATTACATTCGACACTGGTTTTCTGCAAGGGTTCCTCTGATGGGTCCTTAGTGCTATGTCACCATGGGGAAAACAAAAAAGGGTACTCTCAACAGGGGTAGAGAAGAGCTGCAGAAAATAACTCTCCAAAAAAGAGGCATTAGTGACGAGGTAACAGCTCTAAGGCCATACAAGTCCACCATGGATAACGAGGCATCAGTACCCTGTTGAACCCTTGAGCTTGAAAATCTGTCCAATATATATTAGACAAAAACACAAACAAAGTTGCAGACTTAAGAACATGATGGGTGTAAGGGTATAGTACACTGCAGGCTGGCTAAATGATAAGATACCGTTTACAACTTGGGACAAATACACCCTAGAGCAAGGGACCAAAGACCAACAGAGCATCTTCCTGTACATTTCTAGTGGCATAGAGGTAACGCTGACAGCCAGCAACCGGACATAATAAATGATGCACTCCTAGACCACCAGCCAACTAAGCATCAATTACCAAAGGACCCAACTGGAAAGGGCTCAAACCTGTCAATCAAGGGACAACAGAAACAAAGCCTCAAATAAACAAACCCAGACCAAAGGGGTGCCAGAAAACTAAGCAGAGGAGAGGAGGGAAAACTAAAACCATGTCCAGTGACCAAGAGGGCTCAGGAGCATGACCAGGTTGGAGGTGAAAAAGTATCTGAGATAACTAGTGAAACGGTGTGAAGGAAACGTCAACACCAAACACCGACGACTCCACCAGGGCTGAATGAGGTGCGGCGACAATATTTAGCATGAGGAGATTATCCACAAACATCAAAAACAAAAATGATAGGACCATAGATACAGAAACCGAGAACAAACAACTTGGAGAGGGAGAGAGAGAGAAAAAAAGATGGAAGGAGCGCCAAGAAACCTCATACTGTTGCCATGATGAAATTCACAAGTGAGACACCAAAAGAGGCTACCCATGGATGGTACAAAGAGCAATACATAAGTCAAAAACTAAATGTTTAGATCAGCAGAGAGCTTTGAACCATCAAGGAACAGCAGTGTACAAGTACTGAACAGTACTGTTATTGGCCATTAAATTTGTTACCCTTAGGGTAAGGAAAATACAGTATTGTATATCATATGATTATGATATAAAGAAATGATTGTTTATATATCATTTGCATATCTTAATGTTCATAAACATGTGTTGCATCATTTTCTATAAGAATTAATTTTTTATTATTTAAAAACTAAAAATGGCAATTTACAGTAAGTATTCTGAAATCTGGATTAGTCATGAATTCGGATTGGGGTTGGAACAATGTACTGTAGTCTGCAGACGATGAGTCACAATAACGTGGCTGAAGATATGATGACCAAACCAAACACCAGAAGATGAGGAGACAATAACGTTTCAGTCCGTCTTGGACATTATCAAATTGACAATTGACTTGATAATGGTGCTGGACGGAGCGAAATGTTGTCGTCTTCTCATCTCTTGGTGTGTGGTTTGGTCTTCAGTGCAGTCTGGATTTTTGAGGTGCCATTGTATATTTATTTGTAACAAAATTGCAGGCTCCTTTGTTTGATTTAATCTCTCCAGTTATTACTGTATATATGAGATTCTAAATTCTGCAAATTTTAATGAATGAATGAATGAATGCAGTACATTTCATGCAGTATGTACTATGTACATACAAATGTACATAGTACATTTCTTTCTAAATTTCTCTTACATTATAATCATGTG